GGTTTCAAATAAAGGCTGAATGAACACCTGTGAGGAATGCTACGAGAAAGGGTGTTCTTCGGTACCAAGGTGAGGGTCTGTTTTACATCCAACAAATATTGTTTTGTTTCTTTTGTCATGTGTCTACTGTTATTAAGGAATGGGTTTTGGTCTGTTTCACTTTTTAAACTAACAAGGCCATAACACATATAGTAACGTGTTACACATATAGACACAATTACATATGTACAAACACACATTGTTTTTTTTTTTTTAAAATAAGAGTCAACAGCGCCAGGAACAGCTGCGCTCATGGCCCTAAGATCCTCGGCCACTTTGGCGACACCAAGGCAGGAAGATGCGGCGTGTCCAGCGAGGTTCGAGTCCAGCAGGGCAACACAGAGACCGTTGTCTCGTAACAAAAAATTTCAAGAAATTAGCCGCATGGTGTGGTGGCGCACGATGCCTGTAGTCCAGAACTCGACGGAGGCGTGAGGTGGAAGGACAGGCCTTGAGCCCAGAAAGTCAAGTCAAGGATACAGTGAGGCCGTTGATTGTACCCACTGTCTACAGCGCCTGGCGCCACAGAAACACCACCCAGTGCTTCAAAAAAAAAGAAAAGTAACATAATACAAAGGTGATAAAGAGGTCACTTCCCCCGTCTGTTCATACCACTGTGCCCTCATAGGACGGTGAAATGTGTGTAACTGCTTTGTATTAGTTGCTTGTTCCCATCTTTCTCTCGATGTCTCACACAAGACGTACTTACGTATTGCATTTTTCTTTGGCTTTTTTTTTAATGAGGCTCGTTATACATACATTACTTTGTGCATCCTGATTTCTTTTGTAGCTTGACATGAATGTATTATGTCAATAAATATCTATCTAATTAAAAAGTAGCTGTTATAACATATGCGGATATATCTATTCTATCCAAACAGTTCTCTATTAAAGCTCTATGAGTGTCTGGCACAGGTGGCTCTCACGCCTGTCAATCCCAGCATTTTCGGGAGGCCGAAGGTAGGCGGATCACGGAGGGTCAGAAGATCAAAGCCCCATCTGGTTTACACAGTGAAACCGGCCGTCTCTACTATAAAAAAAAAAAAAAAATCAGCCAGGCGTGGTGGCAGGCACCTATAGTCCCAGCTACTCAGGAGGCTGAGGCAGGAGAATAGCATGAATCCAGGAGGTGGAGCTTGCAGTGAGCAGAGATTGTGCCACTGCACTACAGCCTGGGTGACAGAGTGAGACTCCGTCTCAAAAAAAAAAAAAAGTCTATGAGTATTAATACTTTTCTTTGAGACAGGGTATCGTTCTGTTACTCAGGCTGGAGTGCAGTGGCACAATCTCGGCTCACTGCAACCTCTGCCTTCTGGGCTTAAGCAATCCTCCCACCTCAGCCTCCCACGTAGCTGGGACCACAGGTATGCACCACCATGCCCGGCTCATTTTTTGTATTTTTGGTAGAGATGGGATTTTGCCATGTTGCCCAGGCTGGTTCGAACTCCTGGACTCAAGTGATCCACCAGCCTCGACCTCTCAAAGTGCTGGGATTACAGGTATGAGCCACCACATCCGGCCTTGCCTTTTTATTTCAATTAACTCAAAAATAAAATTAAAGTTTGAGTTGGGTATGGACGGCTCAAACTTTAATTTTATTTTTGAGTTAACTGAAATAAAAAGGCCTCCTTTGGGAGGCCAAAGTGGGCGGATTTCTTGAGTCTGGAGTTCAAGACCAGCCTGGGCAACATGGCAAAACCCCATCTCTACCAAAAACATAAAAAATGAGCCAGGCATAGTGGCATGCACCTGCGTTCCCAGCTACTTGGGAGGCTGAGGTGGGAGGATCACTTAAACCCAGCAGACAGAGGCTGCAGTGAGCCAAGATTATGCTACTGCACTCCAGGCTGAGTGACAGAGTGAGACTGTCTCAAAAATAAATAAATACATAAAGTTTTTAAAAAATTAAAGTTTGATCAGAGACTGTTGCTTAACTCATTGACAATTTCAATATAAGCAAAATACCTGGTGATTCTTCATTTCTTCTTCTCTCCTTTGCTGAAGCTGCTTTAATTGCACTTGGAGCTGATTCTCCACTTGCCTCTGTTTGTCCAGGACCTCCTGGTAACGCTCTTTCAACAGTGTTCTCTCTGTCATCATTTTATCCTATTACGAACAAGACAAGAAAAGTTTATTTCCTAATTTAATCACAAGAAACATTCACCAGTGACTGTCCAAGGCATTGTATAGAGCTCTATGACCGCACTATCCAATAATGAAGCTACTAACCATATGTGGCTATATAAATTTAAATTCATTAACATATGATGAGTTTGGCTGGGCATGGTGGTTCACACCTATAACTGCAGCACTTTGGGAGGCTGAGGTAGGTGGATCACTTGCGTTCAGGAATTCGAGACCAGCTTGGGCAACATGGCAAAACCTGGGCTCTTAAAAAAATACAAAAATTCGCTGGGCATGCCGGTACCCGACTGTAGTCCCAGCTACTTGGAAGGCTGAGGTGGGATGATCGCTTGAACCTGGGAGGCAGAGGTTACAGTGAGCTGAGATCACGCCACGCCACTGCACTTCAGCCTAGGGGAGAGAGCAAGACTCTCTCAAAAAAGCGTCCAGGAACATGATTCCTTACTGGTTAATAACACTGAAAACTGATGGATCCTCTAAAGATGTCTGGGAACCTGGTATTCAGACTGAACAACTCAGCAAGCTTTCATATAAAGTCTGGATTAGAAGTGAGGCTTCTAGACAAGGCACGGTGGTTCTGGCCTATAATCCCAGCACTTTGAGGGGCCAAGGCAGGAAGACTGCTTGAGGCCAGAAGCTCAAGACCAGACTGGGCAATGTAGTAATACCTGGTCTCTATCAAAAAACAACAACAATAAATAAAAAAATAGAACTGCTTCTGAAAACAGTTTAGCTCTGCCACCCCCATGTCAGTAAATCAAGAAAATCAATGGTTACCTTTCAAAGGGACACTAAAATTTGAAGAGGGCCAACTTAAAACACATTTAGTATGAAGTAGCCCACATAATATTTAAACTGAGAGCACTAAACTGAATTTTTTCATTAAATAACTGTTTTCAAAGAAAAAAAATTTTAAAAACGAACAGGGAAAATATCATACTATAATCATTTTTACAAAAGGCTCTCAAGGCCAGGCACGGTGGCTCACACCTGTAATCCCAGCACTTTGGGAAGCTGAGGTGGGCGGATCACCTGAGGTCAGGAGTTCGAGACCAGCCTGGCTAACATAGTGCAATCCCGTCTCTACTAAAAATACAAAATTAGCCAGGAGTGTGGTGGTGCATGCCTGTAATCCCAGCTACTTGGGAGGCTGAGGCAGGAGAATCACTTGAACCCAGAAGGCAAAGGTTGCAGTGAGCAGAGATTGTGCCACTGCACTCCAGACTGGGTGACAGAGCGAGACTCTGTCTCAAAATAAATAAATAAATAAATAAATAAAATAAAAAATAAAAAAGACTCTCAAGATAGGACCTTGGCTTTGGGACAAGCTAATCTTTAGTCCATGTACTGAAATGTGACTAAGGTGTCCCAAACAGCTGATTACTCAGCATCACACCTTTCCAGGGATTCTGAACCTGGATTCTACAGGTGGACCTCAGGGAATCTTTGAACTTTCTGCAACTGGTGTATGTATATATCTTTCTGAGACCAGAATTCAAAGTTTCCAAAAGATACTGAAAGAGGATCTTAACCAAAGAAAAGTTGAAACCAGTAGATTATTCTTTTTTGAGACAGAGTCTCACTCTGTGACCCAGGCTAGAGTGCAGCGGTGCAATCTCGGCTTATGGTAACCTCTGCCTCCCGGGTTCAAGTGATTATTGTGCCTCAGCCTCCCAAGTAGCTGGCATTAAGGGTGTGAGCCAACATGCTCTGCTAATTTTTGCATTTTTAGTAGATATGGGGTTTTGCCATGTTGGCCAAGCCGGTCTTAAACTCCTGGCCTCAAGCAATCCGCCTGCCTTAGCCTCCCAAAGTGCTGAGATTACAGGTGTGCTCCACTGCACCCCACTTCTTTTTTTTTTTTGAGATGGGATCTCGTTCTGTCTCCCAGGCTGGAGTGCAGTGGTGTGATGTCGGCACACTGTAATCTCCGCAGCCCGGGTTCAAGCAATTCTCCTGCCTCAGCCTCCCAAGTAGCTGGGATTACAGGCACACGCCACCACGCCTGGCTAATGTTTTTGTATTTTTAGTACAGACGGGGTTTCACCATGCTGGCTAGGCTGGTCTCAAACTCCTGACTTCAAGGGATCCATCTGCCTCGGCCTCCCAAAGTGCTGGGATTACAAGTGTGAGCCACCATGCCCAGCCTTTATTTTCTTTTAACCATAACTCTTTTCCTTTACTTTTTTCTTTTTCTATAATGCATTTTTCTAAATAATAATAATAATTTTTATTATAGAGATGAAGTCTCACTATGTTGCCCAGGTTGTTCTCAAATTCTTAGACTCAAGCAATCCACTCACCTCAGCCTCCCAAAGTGCTGGGATTATAGGCATAAGCCAAGGCACCCAGCCTATGATCCATGTTTAGAACACAGGATCAGGGGAAAAAAATTAGTATCATGAAAAAAGTATTAACATGCATACTATTACTACATACAAGGAGATAACTTAAAGGCATGCTTGATCCAATTTGTCCAGTCTTAACGAGCTAAAGAGTTTATATACTGTTACTTTGCTTTATCCTTGGCTAGTTGGTTCCTAGGACTAGGAGTAACACTTTCGAAAGTAGGCAGTGGGCAATGGCCATAAATACATGAAAAGGGTAGAAAACAGAACAGGAGTCAGGTTTCATATACTGCCACCAAGCTTAACACCTGCTTAGTTTCACTGCCTTTTTTATTTTTTGGGTTTTTGTTTTGTTTTGTTTGTCTAAGACACAGTCTTGCTCTGTCGCCCAGCCTGGAGTGCCGTGGTGCAATCTCGGCTCACTGCAACCTCCGCCTCCCAAGTTCAAGCAATTCTCTCTGCCTCAGCCTCCAGAGTAGCTGGGATTACAGGCGCCCGCCACTACGTCCAGCTAATTTTTTTATTTTTAGTAGAGATGAGGTTTTGCCATGTTGGCCAGGCTGGTCTTGAACTCCTGACTTCAGGTGATACCCTCCACCTCGGCCTCCCGAAGTGCTGAGATTACAGGCGTAAGCCACTGCGCCCAGCCTCATTGCCTTTTTAAAAGCATGTAGACCTCACTACCACCCAAAAGATAGAGCCAAACAAAACACAACTCTAGTCCTCCTTTGGTCCAGTAACTTGCTGGGTTTTCATTCGTTCTTGCTTCATCTAGTTGACTGTTACAATTACGTCCCAAGTTGCTCCTCTCTGTTTTAAAACTTTTATTGGCTTCATCTGGTTAATGTACACCAGTAACTTTTTCCATATACCCTTCAATTTCTTCAACTTGCACCAAATATCCACTATCTTATCTGGTTGCTACAAGCACTTTCCCTTTTTATACCACTCTTTATAAATTAACATATCTTACCCTAAAGACCTCTTCCTGGGGTGCCTTTTCCAGTATTACTTTCCCTTTAAAAAGTGTACATTTAGATATCCATATACTTAAAGGTGGACATTTTAGCCACAAAAGGCCAGGGATGGATCAAAGGGAGCATTTTAACAAAGGTAAGTGTGACGTTCTCTTCAAAAATCAACTATCTGGGGATAAAATTAGAAAGATACAAGTAAATAATCTATGAAAAAAAAGACTGGATGGAATTTGACTAAAAGCTTAACAGTATGAAAAAATTGCCAAAATAAGTCAATGTAAGCTTAAGAAAGTCTAGAATGAGAGATACTAAGAGATTCCACTATATTATAAAGTAATTATACTGTATCTGTACTATCATATATGGTTCTCGAGATCACTTTTTAAAACAAATATTGATAAAATGGAACATGTCTAGGTGAAAGTAACCAGAATGATGATAAAGAAATGGAAAATAGTATCAAAATAGTATCAAAAAGAATACTAAAAACATCTGAGGATGTTTCACCTGGAAAGGTTTGAACTTGGGGAGAAAGAGAATAAGGGGAACAGGCATAAAAAAACTTCAAATATACACAGGGCTAACAAGCAGGAAAGGAACTGGATTTATTCCATAAGGCTCAAGAGAAAACTATAATAAGAACTTTTTTTTTTTCTGAGACGGATTCTCACTCTGTCACCAGGCTGCAGTGCAGTGGTGCAATCTCAGCTCACTGCAACCTCCACCTCCCAGGTTTAGGCAATTCTCCTGCCTCACCTTCCCAAGTAGCTAGGACTACAGGCATGTGCCACCACGCCCGGCTGATTTTTGTATTTTTAGTACAGATAGGGTTTCACCACATTGGCCAGGACGGTCTCAATCTCTTGACCTCATGATCCACCCACCTCGGCCTCCCAAAGTGCTGGGATTACAGGTATGAGCCACCACACCGGGCCTGAAACAAGAAGCTCGCTGCCACCTCAGCCTCCCGGGTTCAAGCAATTCTTCTGCCTCAACCTCCCAAGTAGCTGGGATTACAGGCAGTACCACCACCCCTGGCTACTTTTCGTTTTTTTGTTGTTGTTTGGTTTTTTTTTTTGAGACAGTCTCACTCTGACACCCAGGCTGGAGCGCAGTGGCACGATCTCAGCTCACTGCAATCTCTGCCTCCCAGGTTCAAGCTAATCTCATGCCTCAGCCTCCCAAGCAGCTGGGATTACAGGCACACGCCACCACGCCTGGTTAATTTTTTGTATTTTTAATAGAGATGGGGTTTCACCATGTTGCCCAGGCTGGTCTCAAACTCCTGAGCTCAGACAATCTGCCTGCCTCAGCCTCCCAAAGCGCTAGGATTACAGATGTGAGCCACCGTGCCTGGCCTAAATTTTTGTATTTTTAGTAAAGACAGGGTTTCACCATGTTAGTCAGGCTGGTCTCAAACTCCTGACCTCAGGTGATCCACCCGCCTCGGCCTCCGAAAGTGCTAGAATTACAGGCGTGAGCCACTGCACCCGGCCTGAAGTAAGAAGTTATAAGGGTTTTATCTTCATCTCAGAATAAAATCTAACAATAAGAGCTTTTACTTTGGTTTTTTGAGACGGAGCTTCTCTGTTGTGCAGGCTGGGGTGCAGTGGTGCAATCTTGGCTCACTACAACCTCTGCCTCCCAGGTTCAAGCCATTCTCCTGCCTCAGCCTCCTGAGTAGCTGGGATTACAGGCATGCACCACCACGCCCAGCTAACTTTTGTATTTTTAGTAGAGATGGGGTTTCACCACGTTGGCCAGGCTGGTCTTGAACTCTTGACCTCAGGTGATCCGCCTGCCTTGGCCTCCCAATGTGCTGGGATTACAGGTGTGAGCCACTGTGCCTGGCCTTTTTTTTTTTTTTTTAATTTTTTTTGAGACAGGGTCTCACTCTGTCACCCAGGCTGCAGTACAATCACACAATCATGGCTCACACAGCCTCGACCTCCTGGGCTCAGGTGAACAGGTGATCCTCCCACCTCAGCCTCCGGGGTAGCTAGGACCATAGGCATCCACCACCACACCTGGCTGATTTTTGTATTTTTTGTAGACACGGGGTTTCACCACGTTGCCCAGGCTGGTCTCAAACTCCAGAGCTCAAGTGATTCACCCACTTCAGCTTCCCAAAATGCTAGGATTATGGGCATGAGCCACTGTGCCTGGCCAATAAGAGCTATTTTTTTTTTAAACGTAACTGGTTGCGTTGTGAGGTAGTAAGCTTCCCATCTCTGGAAGTGATCAAGGAAAAGTTAGCTGACCATCTGTCAGGGATTTTATGAAGGGGACTCCTGCACCTTTTCCAACTGAGATGATATGCCTCTAGATCTTCTGTTTGATAATTACTTCATATAACAACAATGACAGTTTAAATACTTACCAAATTCTTTTCAATATCTTGATCTGTGTTTACCTCTGAATCAGCCGTCTTAAAGTCAGTCTATAAATGAAAAAAGCTATATTTAGAATTGTTCAGAGACACTTTAAAAGAGGCAGAATCACTAACACCTAGAATTCTGCCACAGGTAACTAACTTTTCGCTCTTTCCCCTTACCAGCTTCCAAGCAAGCTAAGCAATGTAGTTCTGGCAAATGGACACCAACATCCACCCTGCATTAATCATCAGTCCCACAAAATAACCCAAACAAGACCCAACGACTGACTGAGAGAAAGCCTCAAGTCTGAGATGAGATGTCTGCCCTCTACAGTCTGTTGTGCCCATACTTTCTCCTACAACAAAGCACACCCGTCACTAGAAGGCAGGATACACTGTACTTCTTAAGATGTGACTCAGAGAATTAACAAGGACTCTTCCTGCAAGGACAAAGGGGATAAATACAAATGCTAATGTCCTGAACTCATCAGTTACTCAGTGAAAGAGACTACGTAGGTCATAAAGTTCCTACTTGCCATAAGATGAGACACTAGCTACTGGCTTTCTTATTTACTGAACATCAGAATGAAGTCATTGCATGGCACTGTATGAAAGTAGTACGATGGGTGCTAGCAAAAAAACAAAAAACAAAACAAGCCAGCAAGTTCTCCACCAAATATGAAGAAATAGCTCCTACCCTGAACCCCACCACCCCCCAGTTACATTTTAGTAGTAGAAACTTGACACTTGACCTGTACAGCAATGTTCTGAGAAAGCTTCAGGGAAGAGCTATCTTGATCATCATCCTGATCCACTCGGACTCCTTCAACCCCATTTGCTGGAGACACTACAGGTCGGAAATCCAAGCCTGTGTCCCTGTTACCTTCCTTTAGGATGGAGGCTTGTGGGGATTTCTCTTCAGAGCAATTCCCGGAGGCAAGCTGCTTTGTATGGCACCCTGCCTTAAGAGACCGAGTGGCTGGATGGAGGTTCTCCCGGAGGCTTGTGTCCCCCTCCTCTCCTGCTGTGCTGGCCACGTCCTTCAAATCAGACTGAGATCCACTGCCAGAAAGACAAAGGGCTGTGGCTATCAAGTTTTCTCCTAAAACCGCCGGGTGCGCTGCTGAGGTGTCACCTGCTGATGAACCAGGATTCTGCTCTGAGTGCTCCAAATGGACATTTCTGTTATTCTCCTTGGTTATTGTTTGGCTACTTACACTCAACAGGGGTGAGTTCTTCTGTTTCTGTGCAGAGTCTTTGGTGCTATCAAACACATAAGATGAAAAGAAAAGTTATAATACTTTTAACTACTAGAAGAACAAAACTAGACTACGTAAACCCTCCTGACTATCACAATGAAAGAACTTAGTTTCAATCCAATGATTTCTATCCCATATGCAGGTAGTATAGCTTGGTGGTTAAGACCTAGTTTTTTGTTTTTTGTTTTTGTTTTTAGAGAGGGTCTAAACTCTTGTCACCCAAGCTAGAATGCAGTGGCGCAATCAAGGCTCACTGCAGTCTCAACATCCTTGGCTCAAGCGATCCTCCACCTCAGCCTCCTGAGTAACTAGGACTACAGTAACATGCCACCATGCCCAGCTAATTTTTTGTATTTTTTGCATGGTTTTGCCATGTTGCCCAGGCTGGTCTCAAACTCCTGTGCTCAAGGGATCCATCTGCCTGCATCAGCCTCTCAAAGTGCTGGAATTATAGGCGTGAGCCACCACAGCCAGCCAAAAACCTGGGTTCTAAAGACAGTCTACAGTAAATGGCCAAACATAAATGATTCTGAAGATGCAAATAATTTTTGAGGGCCAACTGGAATAAGTTTTGGGGATACCGATGAATTAGCCTAATGCTAGTTAGAATATTTTAGTTACATGTACTAATTTAGTTATACATATTATAATAAAATATTAACTTAGAAATATTGTTTTGATTCCTCTCTCACCTTCCACAAGAATAATTTTCATTCAAACTCATTATAGAGATCTTTGACCAGAACCACTTTTTAGGTTCTTCAACAGTACCAGAGTATAGCATCTACACTTTAAGTTGTCTAAAGTACAGACAATTTTGAATCCAAAACTGAAGCTGTCAATAGAAATTTTATCCCACACAGTAAGTAACATATGCTTAATATTAGGATATTCTGTCACTTGTCACAGCCATTCAAGGTGCTGCTTTAATTATTTATTGATTGATTGATTTTTTGAGACAGGGTTTCACTTTGTCACCCAGGCTGAAGTGAGGGATTGGTTTTTTAAAGGGGTCTTAAAACATATTTACAATGACATCCAACATTCACAATTGTACATCTTTCACCCAGGAATTAACGCTTATGTTTAATTTATTTGACCCCACCCTCTTTTTTTAAACTAATTCTATAACTGACACTCTTAACCATACCCAACCAGCACAGAGGATTCAAGTTGATGCATCTTTGTTTCCTCAATCATACTAGTTCAAAATAAAACAACTGAAAGAATACCACGGTGAGGAACAATGGCTCATGCCTGTAATCCCAACACTTTCGGAGGTCAAGGCAGGAGCATTATTTGAGGTCAGGAGTTCAAGACTAGCCTGGGAAACATGGCAAGACCTTGTCTCTACAAAAAAATTTTAAAAGTAGCTGAATGTAGTGGCGTGCACCTGTAGCTCCAGCTACTTGGGAGGCTGAAGGGAGAGGACTGCTTAAGCCCAGGAGGTGGAGGCTGCAGTAGGCCATGATCGCACCACTGTACTCCAGCCTAGGTGATAGAGGGAGACCCTGTCTCAATGTAAACACTGAAGCTGATTCCTTCCTGCTGGGAGTTAACTGTGAGGAGGTGCTTAATTAAAAATTCAGGCATATATAGTACCTGAGTTTGAATCCTGACTCCGCCCACCATTTACAAGCTGTTTGACTCTTGGCAAGTTACTTTATTTGTAAAACAGAAATAATACTATCCTCCTAATAGGACTGTTGTGAGGATTCCATGAGATAATCCACATGAAGTATTCAGTATAGTGCCTGGCATATAGTAAACATTCAATAAACCTTAGCTGCCATTATTACTAGTGTATGTAGTTGACTTTATCAAAACTCTGACTCCAACATAGCTTGGAAACCTTGGGCAAATTACTAACCTCTCTGTGTCTCAGTTTCCTCACCTGTAAATGGGAATAATAATATTATCACTACCTCCCGAGACTGTTGTAAAGATTAAATGTGTTAACACATATAGAACTGTAGTTAAGTGTTAGCTATTGTATTAGAGGACTCAGGTACTCTAGAAAATAGCTGAGGGAGGGCCAGGCGCAGTGGCTCACGCCTGTAATCCCAACACTTCGAGAGGCTGAGGCAGGCCGATCACAAGGTCAGGAGACTGAGACTATCCTGGACAACATGGTGAAACCCTGTCTCTACTATAATACAAAAAATTAGCCGGGCATGGTGGTGGGCACCTGTAATCCCAGCTACTAGGGAGGCTTAGGCAGGAGAATCGCTTGAACTCGGGAGGCAGAGGTTGCAGTGAGCGGAAATTGCGCCAGGGCACTCCAGCCTGGCGACAGAGCAAGACACTGTCTCAAAAACAAAACAAAACAAAAGTTGAGGGAGCTAGGTGCAGTGGCTCACCCCTGTAATGCCAGCACTTTGGGAGGCCAAGGCGGGCAGATCACTTGAGGTCAGGAGTTCAAAACCAGCCTGGTCAACATGGTGAAACCCCATCTCGCTAAAAATACAAAAATTAGCTGGGTTACCAAGCAGGCGCCTATAATTCCAGCTACTTGGGAGGCTGAGACAGGAGAATCACTTGAACCCAGGAGGCAGAAGTTGCAGTGAGCCAAGATCATACCACTGCACTCTGGCCTGGGGCACAGAGCAAGAGTCTGTCTCCAAAAAAAAGAGTTGAGGAAGAATACACAGTCAGCCTCTTTATATAGACTGTGGTCCACATTCATGGATTCAACCAACCATGGACTGAAAATATTCAAAAGGATAAATGTTTGTGATGATGGATATGCTAATTACGCTGATCTGATCACTATACATTACATGTACCACAACATCACTATGTACCCCCATGAATATGTACAATTAATTATTGTGTCCATTTATTAAAATATAAAAATAAACCACTTAAAAGTAAAATACCCAGCCTGGCCAACGTGGTGAAACCCCATCTCTACTCAAATACAAAAATTAGCCAGGCGTGGTGCCGGGCACCTGTAATCCCAGCTACTTGGGAGGCTGAGGCAAGGGAATCACTTGAACCCAGGAGGCAGAGGGTGCACTGAGCTGAGATCACGCCATTGCACTCCAGCCTGGGCGACACAGCAAGACTCCATCTCAAAAAAAAAAAAAAAAGCCGGCGCAGTGGCTCACGCCTGTAATCCCAGCACTTTGGGAGGCCAAAGCAGGCGGATCACGAGATCAGGAGATGGAGACCATCCTGGCTAACACGGTGAAATCCCCTCTCTACTAAAAAAACAAAAAATTAGCTGGGTGTGGTGGCGGGCACCTGTAGTCCCAGCTACTTGGGAGGCTGAGGCAGGAGAATGGCGTGAACCTGGGAGGCGGAGCTTACAGTGAGCCAAGACTGCGCCACTTGCACTCCAGCCTGGGCCAACAGAGTGAGACTCTGTCTCAAAAAAACAAAAGTGAAATAGATTTAAACCATTAAAAAAAATTTCAGAAAAAAATTGGATGGTTGCATCTGTACTGAACATGCACAAATTTTTTTCCTTGTCATTATTCCTTAAACAACACAACTATTTACATAACATTTACATTGTATTAGTTGGTGTAAATAACCTAGAGATTAAAGTATATGGGAGGACATGCATAGGTTATACAAATACTACACCATTTTATTTATTTATTTATTATCTTTTTAATTGCTTTAAGTGGGGTGGGCATATGCCTGTCCCAGATAAAATACTACACCATTTTATGTAAGGGACTTGAGCATCTATAGATTTTGGTATCCTCAGTAGGGGTCCTGGAACCAATCTCCAACATATACTGTGGGATAACTACATAGTTAATTTAGTTCAACATTGTACATAACAATGTATTACATTAGCTACTATGAGATGCAAGTTTGGGTAATTGTGTGTCTGTGGGTATATGTATTTAGAATCCATGTACACATACCAATGTAACACTTCTCATATATAACATATAAACATATGGTTAAATGAACATACAGTCCACATAGGAAAGGGCTGGAAAATATTTGCATTTTTTAATGAGTTTGAACCCATGTATTCTATTTATTCTCCAAACATTTAGCATGCCTGCTGAGTATCAGATGCTGTGTTGGATACCAGAAACACAAAGATAGATCAGACAGTCCTCTACCTTTAAAAACCTAGTGCAGTGCCATCAGAGCCAAAAAGAAAGACCAGCTACACAATACCATCTCAGAAACCCTTTACCCAAATGAATCTTCCCAGTCAGGAGTCCACACATTACCTTAGACCATCTGGGAGACCTTCGTCTGATTTGGAAGCACATAAACTAGAAGATTCCGGAGGACTGGGGGCATTGGCCACAACACCAGCAACCTCAGACGCTGCCATTATGCTCTGTACATTCAGAAACAAATTACAGGCTACAAGTTTCCAAAGTTTAAAACAAATGTATCTCTCCCCCCTCAGAATGTCCACACAACAGAGTTGTTGCAGTAAAGAAATACAAAAACCTGGGCTCCGGGAGAAAATACTTAAGAGTATTAAAAGAGACATTGTATACAAAGTCCTAGCGGGCAACAATCCTCAAGAGTCACTGTATTTACATAAATATCTCGGAGTCTGTGTAAAGATCTTATTTTCACTTTTGGCAGAAATGTAGTCATTTCAAACAATAGATCTTAGTCTGCCAGGATCTTCCAAGTGGTCCCAAGCCTACCTTGTCTACTATCATTTATAATAAAAGATGTACTTTTCGGACTAGTATCAATCAGATCTCATGTTTTTAAATCACTGTATGGCTGTTACATTCAAAGCATTCTCCACTAATTTAAGTGAAGTTTTTGGAGGCGCTTGCCTGTAAGCGAACAAGTAATGCAACACTGGGCAATCCAGGGTGCATCTTTTACTGTCAGTGTGCTCCCCACAGATGGGAAAGGCCTGATACCCACTATCTGAGGAAAGTACAGACTCTTCAGAGTGACTAGTGGTGCAAAAAAGAATCCTGGGTTCTCTAGCTTGAAAATGACAAGGTGAAAAACATGGTAACATAAGTAAGGGAACTGGGACGGATGCCTTTTTTAAAAATCAAAAGGTCATCTTCTATGCTGCAGAGCAAACTTATGACCTTATGAGGAGAAAAGAAAATCAAAATACTTGGGAGGTGGGGGTGAACGTAGGGTTAGTTTGCATTCTTGCTTTTATTTTAACAGCATCACAGGTATTGCCCCCGGAACACTGAAGAGCGCGCGGGGTAGACAGGCAGATGGGGCTGTGTCAACACCTCAGTCACAGCCCACAGACCCTGTGCCTCAGTTTCCCTCATTATACAAAGCTCCTGGGAGAAAATGGGCCCCAAATCGCCACTGCTGCTCCCTCAGGTGCAAACATCCCGTCCCCAAGGAGCCCAGGGCTGGGGGGGGTCCTCTGCGCCCGGTGAACGAAACCCCAGGATAAGGGTCATGCATGCAACTCCGTGGCTAGAGAGCCCGTGGCGCGGGTCGGAACAGCTGGCTGGAGGGTCGAGTGTACCAAAAAGAACTCCGCAACCCGGGGCGACCACCAGCGAAGCGGAGGCGCGGGAGCCACGGGTCCTCGGGCGAGAACAGGGGACAGACGGGAAGAGGACAATGGGGGGAAACGGCGCTGGGTGGCCTTGGCCACCCTCCACAGGGGGCTGCTAGGCTGGCCGCTGCCTCGGACCAGCCCCCCTCCACCCCTTTCCCTTGGCCCCCCCACCCCACTGCCAGCCCCCCCGTCCCACTTCTAGGCCGGGACCCCCGCCTCGGTTCTCACAGCACCCTCCACGCCCCCCACCCGGCCCCCCTCCCCGGCCCTCGCCCCGCAACCTCCACCCACGCTCGCCCCGCACACACCTCCCGCGCCGCGCCCCCGGGAAGAAAGTGGGGGAGGGACGGGACGCACCTGAGCGGGCGGAGCGGGGGGAGGGGGCGGCCGAGCCACGGGGGGAGGGGTCGAGCGCCGGCCCGCGCGCGGCACCTCCCACTTCCGGCGGCACGAGCGGAGGGGGCGAGCCTCCGGCCGCGAGAGGAGAGGCCGCGGTGGCGCCGCGCCGCCCCCGACGGCGCCCTCTGGCGGCGAGAGCTGGCGCCGCCGGGGCACGGGGATGCTGCAGGAGACCCCTGAGATACAGGTGGACTCTCCCCGGGCGCAGGGAAGAAGGGAGAGCCGACTGCGAGAAGGAAGGCGACCTGACGGGGCAGGATCCCCTCTGGAAAGATTACAGGGACAGTCGGGGCCATGGCGGTCAGAGGGAGAAGAGCAACTAGGGGATTTTAAAGGTCGGAACAGAAATGCCCTTTACAGAGGACGCCATGAAGGAGAACCTTCTGAAGAGGGACTATGTGGAAGATGCCCCGAGGACTCGGGGAGGCGGAGCCCGCGGGTTCGGCCCCCAGCGCCCGCACGGTCCCTGCCTGCGGAGGCCGCCCGCTGGAGCCGGACCCCGGGCGCCGGTTGCTGGGGCCCGTGGGGTCGCTGGGCCGCAGGCGCCGCGCTGATTGGCTGCGCCGCGGGCGGAAGTGATGCTGCTGTCACTGCTCCTCCGGCTCCCGGGAAGCCGCGAGTTTCCGCAGGGAGGCGGCGGCAGCTGCGGCCGGGCCGGTGAGTTGGGAACTAGGTGTGGGGCTGGACATGGGAAGTCAGGGGGGCCCAGAAGTGGGGGGAACCGGCGTCTGAGGATGAGGGAGCTCCACAGAGGGTGCCTGAGGTCCTGACGTGGGGGACCCCAGGGAGATGGGGCCCCAGGGTCCAGGATTCCAGGATAGTGTGGGTGCTAATGAGGAGAGGGGCACATTGCACGGAGCGATCGAGGCCGATGGAGGGGGAATCGGGAAACTGATCCTGTACCCAAGCTGGCTTCTAGGAGCCGGGTGTAGAACAGCGAGGACAGTCACTTGGGAGCAGGATCTTGGACTCTGGGCTGCCCATTCTCTTCTTCCTTGTCAACTAAGAGCTGTAAAGAGAGGCCTAGCCGTTGGGAGAGGTTGAGACCTGCTTTCAGAGGGCATTTAAGGTTCCTTTCCCAGAAGCCTGGGGGATAAGAATGCTGCTCTGCCACTGGGAGACAGAAGGAGCTCATGCTTCTCTTTCTTCCGGACATCTGTGGTGGGATCCTCTGAGTCTGAAGGAGCCTGCCTAGAGGGGCCACTGTCTGGCTAACAAGGGTTTTGTTTGTTTGTTTGTTTACTTAGTAGAGTTTGCAGACACCTAAATATCTTGGGAGAATTGAGGCTCCCGGGGCAGGGAGGGATTGAGAGGGAATACACCTGGAAACCTAAGAGAAAAAGAGCGGAAGAAATAGAGTATGAAGATTTTTAGAGGGAAAGGAGAGGTGACATAAGTTCTCCTTTCCCTTTCCAGGAAGTCTTTCAGTAAAATTCCCATTTTTCTGGAATGCTTTGACGTAGAGCTGCTTGGGTGTGTGTCTGAGTACTAAGCCCTGCCCCAGGGTGGACTCAGTGGAGAACAAAGGCTTTTGAAGAAGCCTAGCCACCATAGGCACACACACGTCTTGTCACCCCATTTGTCTGTGCCCCAGTTCTTACTTGGCTCTTTTTTTCTTTGAGGGCTCCTAAGACCAATTCCCTGGTTCTGTCAAACCCAGGCAATTGGAGGCCCGCCCAGTCTGGAGCCTGAGTCCTCTCCTTGAAGCCAGCCTCCTGAGCTCAGCACAGGGGTAGCTGCTTAGTGAGGTTCCCTCGTCATTCCTTCTCTCCTGGTTGCCTGCTTGTCCTTGGTGCCTGTTCTGTTTTGTTTGCACTCTCTGGCTTCCCCCTGTTTCGCCCCAGCCTCCTCCCTCCTTTCACTTTCCCTGATATCCTTCTGAGGTAGACAAATCAGGAAGTTCACTACCACCTGGACTTCCAGGACGTTATTACCTACTCTTTCGGGAGACATTTTGGTAACAGTTTTTTGCTAGGCCTCTAGGGAAAAAAATGAAAAGAGGGTGGCATGATAGCACAGGAAGTGGGGTTTCTGAGTGTTATACTGATTTGGCCTCACCGTACCAGTTCTGTGCCAGTCTATGACCAGTTTTAGATCTTTGAAAATGACAACTAAGTTTCTCTGGTCCCTGGTCCTGGAGTTGATCTAACCTTTGCTGGTCGCACTGGGATTGGTGGGACGCTGTTTCTTCTGTTCTTGGGCCCCACAGGTCTGTAGCCTTTGCTGAGTCAACACTACTCACGGTGAAAGTGATGCCTTTTCTCCATTTGCACAACATGAGTGTGGCGTGGTTAGCCAGACCAGGAGCTCAACCTCATGTAGAGTCCAGGTGGGCACGGGGCCCTGTTATGGGGAATTAGCCTTGAGGACAACTGGACTGAGGAGGCAGCTAGGGAAAGATTTATGTCCCCTCTAAATGTAGGGGTGAAGAGGTTGTCTGTCCTAAAGAACAGTCACGAATGCAGCCAGTGGTTTGTGGGAGCGATGTGTGCTTTGAGCCCCGTGGGTGGCAACAGGGGACGGGTGCAGTGCCTGTGGGCAACCGGACCTCCTGCTGGATTAGCTGGTGTCGTGAGGATTGGCTGTCTTGCTGTGGGAGGCCATCCGCTGGCGTTAGTGCTGGCCCACACTCCACCTGGGGGCTTATCCCTGCTGGTCAGGGATAAATGTGAACAGAAAGAGAGGATCAGATGTTTCATAATTTAAAAGGCATGGCTTGGGGACTTCCAGGGGGAATGCGTGGATGGCTCAGCATCTCCCTCTCAGATTCCTGCAGTTACCAACTCTTTAATCTCTTCCACATCCTTTTTCTCTGTCTGCAGTCCGCTGCTCTGATGCCGAAGGGGAGGCAGAAAGTGCCACACTTGGATGCCCCCCTGGGCCTGCCCACCTGCCTCTGGCTGGAATTAGCGGGGCTCTTCTTACTGGTTCCCTGGGTCATGGGCCTGGCAGGGACAGGTGGGCCTGATGGCCAGGGCCCAGGGGGGCCGAGCTGGGCTGTGCACCTGGAAAGCCTGAAAGGTGACGGGGAGGAAGAGACTCTGGAGCAGCAGGCGGATGCCTTGGCCCAGGCAGCAGGGCTGGTGAATGCTGGACGCATCGGAGAGCTTCAAGGGCACTATCTCTTTGTCCAGCCTGCTGGGCACAGGCCGGCCCTGGAGGTGGAGGCCATCCGGCAGCACGTGGAGGCTGTGTTGGCTGGGCATGAAGCTGTGCGCTGGCACTCAGAGCAGAGGCTGCTAAGGCGGGCCAAACGCAGCGTCCACTTCAATGACCCCAAGTACCCACAGCAGTGGCACCTGGTGAGTCCAGTCCTACAGTGTGTGGTTTCAGGTGGGTAGGTTCCAGTCCAGTTCTTTAGTGGGCTTTTGACTATATCGCTCTTCAGTCGCCTCCATCCTTCGCCTGAGGGACCATTTCCCGGTTCTGTGGTGTTTCCCTCAGCTCTCCCTCCCTCCTATTGTCTTCTAGAAGCCGGTGTTCTGCAGTACTCAGGGCACAGATGGTGCCCCCAGGCTGCCTGGGCTCAAGGTCCAGCTGCGCCACTTACTAGCATGTGCATTTGGGCAAGCTGCTTAACCTCTGTGCCTCAGCTTCCCCATCTGTAAAGTGAGACTATAGTAGTGCCCACCTCATAGAGTTATGGTTAGGGTAAGTGAATGCATACATGTGTAGCACTTGGAACAGTGCCTGACACATAGTAAACGCTATGACATAAGTGATACGATACTACCATTGTCATAAGAAGTGTATCATCCGGCCGGGCGCGGTGGCTCACGCCTGTAATCCCAGCACTTTGGGAGGCCGAAGCGGGTGGATCACGAGGTCAGGAGATCAAGACCATCCTAGCTAACACGGTGAAACCCCGTGTCTACTAAAAATACAAAAAAATTAGCCGGGTGTGGTGTCGGGCGCCTGTAGTCCCAGCTACTCGGGAGGCTGAGGCAGGAGAATGGTGTGAATCCGGGAGTTGGAGCTTGCAATGAGCTGAGATCACGCCTCGGCACTCCAGCCTAGGCGAGAGAGCGAGACTCCATCTCAAAAAACAAAAAAAAAGAAGCGTGTCATCCAACCCTTCACCCTAGCCTCCATTTCACCCCGAATCCCCCATGACTGATGGCAGACTTTCCTGGAATCCAAGGCTGTGGCAGAGCTCTCACCTGCCCCTTCTAGGCTCTGTTCCCACCTCACCTATTGGCCTGCAATCTCTGTCTGGCTCTTTGGTGGAGGCCAAGGGTGAAAAGGGGTTGCTGGCTATAACTTCGTCTCCCTCTGGGCTGGGCTGTGTGTCACTGGATTCCCACCCTGTCTGTCTTACAGAATAACCGACGGAGCCCGGGCAGGGACATCAACGTGACGGGTGTGTGGGAGCGCAATGTGACTGGGCGAGGGGTGACAGTGGTGGTAGTGGATGATGGAGTGGAACACACCATCCAGGATATTGCACCCAACTATGTGAGTGGCCCCTCACCCACCACGTCTTACCTCCTTCTTGGTGTTGCCTCAGTCTTGGCCCTTTTTCTAGAGGTCTTTGGGCCAAATAAAGGAGCCTGGGAGGTGAGATGGGGTTCATCCTCTCCTTTTCCCGAGTCAGCCTTCCAGACTGGTAGTCAAGGCACAGCAGGTGGCTCTAACTCTAAGGGAGAGCAATCCTGCTTCCAGTTCTAGTCCTTTTCTGAGGAGTGAGGAATGGCCCCTGCAGGCAACTTCCCTCTTGTTGGAAATCCGAGTACCTTCCTCTCTCTGAAGCGTGGCCTCTAGGGAGCCCTACCTGCCTTTTATTCCAGGTTTCCCAAGCCATGGAGCTGTAGGCACCTTCGCATAATGGGCAAGAGAAGTTTGCTGGGAGCTGTGGCACTTCTCAGTTTTGCCCCAGTGTCCTTTGCTCATATCTTTTAGCCAGTGCGGTTTGCAGATAGAAATGGGTTTATTGGGTCCAGGCATGGTGGCTCACGCCTGTAATCCCAGCACTTTGGGAAGCCAAGGTGGGCGGATCACAAGGTCAGGAGCTTGAGACCAGCCTGGCCAAGATGGTGAAACCCCGTCTCTACTAAAAATACAAAAATTAGCCAAGCGTGTTGGTGCACACCTGTAGTCCCAGCTACTCGAGAGGCTGAGGTGGAAGAATTGCTTGAACCCGGGAGGCAGAGGTTGCAGTGAGCTGAGATTGTGCCACTGCACTCCAGCCTGGGTAACAGAGTGAGACTCCATCTCAAGAGAGCGAGACTCCATCTCAAAAACAAAAACAAAGAAATGAGCTTATTGCCCTAGCTTCGAGTCCCAAACTCCCATTTCCTTTCTCTCCCTGAATCCCAGGACCTGACCCCCCTCTAACCAGTGAATGACCACATGTCACCTCCGAAATATTTCAGAGCCCTGAGGGTAGCTATGACCTCAACTCTGATGACCCTGACCCCATGCCCCACCCGGACGTGGAGAATGGCAACCACCATGGCACGCGATGTGCAGGAGAGATCGCGGCTGTGCCCAACAACAGCTTCTGTGCCGTGGGCGTGGCCTATGGGAGCCGCATCGCAGGTAACTCGTGCCTCCAGCCTAGCCTTGGTAGGCTGCTCCTGTGACCACAGTCTTCATTTCCTGCACCCCTCCCTACTCTGAAACTTCTCTATCCCATAGCCCAGCTGACACACATAGCATAGAGCAAGGGTGAGTTTATCATAGGTGTCTATAGGACATATCAGCTCATTTATTTTTCAGTGCAGTGGTGTTTCAAACATGTTTTTCTATTTGTAGTTCCATAATTTACAAAGTGCCTTCTTGTTGGTTCTTTCTCTATGATCCGATACGTCTATGGGGGCAGCCCTTGCGTTTCCCAGCTCTCCAGCTTCCAGTCACACTGATGGTCATGGGCTGCTCTCTATCCTTTTGGGAGGGCTGAGCAGCCCTATTCCTCCCTGGAGGTGGTTCTGTGGTTCTTTCACACTCAACCTCTGTCCATTAAGGCCGAAGGTGAAGGGAATGAATGGGGAAACCCTCACCATAACTCCTTATTAGGAGTGCTTGGGAACCTACAGACTGAATTGACTAACTGTATTCCTCTTATACTCCAGCAGAGGGCAGTAGCTCTCCATAAATGAGACTACGGGGGAGCCAGAAACCCTGTCCAAGTCCCTTCTCTGAAAGTGCCACAGCACTGCAGCCTGGGTGACAGAGCCAGACTTTGTCTCTTTCTCTCTCTATATATTTTTGGTGGGGGGACAAGTAATACATATACAAGGTGTAAAAATGCAAAATGGGCTGGGCGTGGCCGGGTTCCTGTAATTCCGGCACTTTGGGAGGCCAAGGCAGGCAGATCACCTGAGGTCAGGAGTTCGAGACCAGCCTGACCAATATGGTGAAACCCCATCCTCTACTAAAAATACAAACGTAGCTGGGCATGGTGGCATGCGCCTGTAGTCCCAGCTACTTGGGAGGCTGAAGCAGGAGAATCGCTTGAACCCGGGTGGTGGAGGCTGCAGTGAGCCGAGATCATGCCACTGCACTCCAGTCTGGGCGACAGAGTGAAACTTTGTCCTCAAGAAAAAAAAAAAAAAATTGCAAAATGTACAAACAGCATGTAGGGAAAAATAAATCTCCCACATATGGCTCCCCACCTCCCAGTTCCCCAGCTAGGAGACCAGCATTAGTGAGGAGCTGCTGTGGCCTTCATTGCCTAGGTATCCGGGTACTGGATGGACCTCTCACAGACAGCATGGAGGCAGTGGCGTTCAACAAGCACTATCAGATCAATGACATCTACAGCTGCAGGTGAGGCAGAGCTGCACATGAGAGCAAGAGTCTGGAGCACCTGGGACAAATCTGCCATTGAAAGCCCAACCAAGTGGGCTGACTCAGCCAGAGCAGGGGTCTCCTCGTTGGGTTCAGCTAATACATCCATTGCCTTCATTTCTCTAGATTCCCAGCCACTGGGCTCTCAACCTTAAGCCCCTGCCACCGCCGTAATCAGGTTGCCACATGAGAAGCCCTGGCCTGTGCACATTTATTTGTTTTCTAAACTCCTAAGGCCTCTGCAAGAAAGCGGGCTTTCCTCTCCAACCACAGGCCAGCTGAATGCCCAACACCAATCCCCCACCCCACGTCAACGCACTGCACCTTCAGGGCATGGCTGTGCCGGACTGGACAAGAGGGAAATGGGGTTGGGGGCCCCCATAGCATTGATGGCACCTCTTCCTCCCCCAGCATACCTCCCTTAAATCCATGACATCATCCACAGGGTACACTTCCTGATAGAGACAGAATAGAGAACTCCTCAGCCTGATAACCAGGAGCTTCCACAGAAGTTCATGGGTGCTCTGCCTTCTACCCCACGAGTTGGGCCAGGCGCGGTGGCTCACGCCTGTAATCCCAGCACTTTGGGAGGCTGAGGCGGGTGGATTGCTTGAGATCAGGAGTTCAAGACCAGCCTGACCAACATGGTGAAACCCCGTCTCTACTAAAAATACAAAAATTAGCCAGGCGTGGTGGCAGGCACGTGTAATCCCAGCTATTCCAGAGGCTGAGGCAGGAGAATCGCTTGAACCTGGGAGGCGGAGGTGGCAGTGAGCCAAAATCGTGCCACTGCACTTCAGCCTGGGCGACAGAGCAAGACTCCGTCTCAGGAAAAAAAAAAAAAAAAAAAATCTACATGTCTCTGATCCCTAGATCAGGAGATGAGTGACCTCTGTCCCTTTCTGCCACTATGGGCTATGGGGACATTCACAAGGAAAAGAAGAGCCTTAGCACACTTCTGCTTTCTACGTTGGAGAGGGGATGGACCTTTGAACCCTGTGCCTTTTAATCACAGAAGCCTTTAAGTGGAACCCTTGGGAGGAGTTAAGAGCCGCAGGTCAAAGGGTAGCCAGCTGAGACTGGGAGGCACTGGGTGGGTAGCCATAGCCTGGCTCTGGCTGTCCCCTCTAGGTATTTATTTCTCAACAGCTGGGGACCAGATGATGATGGGAAGACAGTGGATGGCCCCCATCAGCTTGGAAAGGTAACTGGCCTGCACAGAGACTAAGAGACAGGATGCGTTCTTCATTCAGTCCCAGAAGACCTCCTGCAAGCTGACCCATCTTCCCACTCCATCTCCATGCGCAGTCTCCTTTCAGGAAGAGAACACCGAACATCGGGGCAGGAAGCCTGGGGGACTTTGGTTCCTAGAGAGGGAAAGGGAACAGTACTTTGAGATTGTCTCCCTTTCATCTTGTCCTCAGCTCCCATGCCCGGCCCCACCCTGTCCTCTGATAAGTGGAGGGCGTCCATCAGTCATCATTCAACTCACAGCTGCCCCACATCCTGGGCCAACTCCTAGCTCCCTCCTCACATCCAGGGTCCATCTTCCAGTCTTTTCCCCATCCCAGTGCCCTTTGAACTTTTTTCCTTTTGTTTCTAGAAGGGATGGAGAGGGTGACTGATGTAGTAGGTGGAGGTCTTTCTGTGGGTTCCTCAACTGACACCCTGATGTTTTGGCTCCTCAGGCTGCCCTACAACACGGAGTGATTGCTGGTCGCCAGGGCTTTGGGAGTATCTTTGTGGTAGCCAGTGGCAACGGAGGCCAACACAACGACAACTGCAACTACGATGGCTACGCCAATTCCATCTACACGGTCACCATAGGTAGCCTCCCAGTGTTTCTGTGCTCCTGTGTGTGTGTCACCGGATGCTTAGGGCATCACACGTCTTGTCCCAGCTTCTGTGTGTGTCTAAGGGTTAGGGTTAGGGTGAGGGTGAGGGCGAGGGTGAGGGTGAGGGTTAGGGTGAGGGTGAGGGTTAGGGTTAGGTTAGGTTATTGTGTGAGCACAGTAATCTCTTTGGGCTCAGATAGGACTAGCCTTGCTTGCAGAGGACCTTGGGACTTCCTTAGATGTCAACATACCCTGGGAACACCTTCAAGCCATCATCTGGAGATCACCAAGCTGCCTCCACCCCACCACAGCTGGTTAGGCCTCTGCTGTGGCCTGTCTTTCTGTGGGCCACCTTCCACCTGCTGGAAGCCTCCCCTGACTGCCCACGGGCCTAAATTAAGTGCCCTTTGCCTGTGCTCCCAGTTAGCATTTGCCACCCCAACTGCGTTTATTTCCTTACCTGACTTCTACCTGACTCTAGGCTCCTTGAGACCAGGACTGCGGCCTTTTCCATATGGCCCTGATGCCTGGCACAGGGTGTGACCCACAGTAGATGGGTAATGAATGTTGAAAACAGTGAGCATGTGAATGAATAAGTGGGTATAAAGGTAGAAGGCTTCCAGATGTACCCCAGAGCCTGTTGAAAGAATGGTATTGCGGCACAGAATGTCCTCTGCCACTTGAGACTGCCTGTTTAGAAGAGGATCAGGACCACTCTGAGGGATGTGGGCCACTCAGGTCATGTTTCAAACTCAGGACAGCCCTCCAGGATGATAACTCCAAGATAACTGACATTAGCAAGCCCCTGCCACAGGATCCCCTCTTCATCTCAGCTCTCATTTTCCTCCTCTGTCCCCAGGAGCTGTGGATGAGGAGGGACACATGCCTTTCTATGCAGAAGAATGTGCCTCCATGCTGGCAGTCACCTTCAGTGGTGGGGACAAGATGCTTCGGAGCATTGTGAGTGCCTCCCGGGCCCTCCATGGCCTGCCCCTTTCCCACAAGACTTCACGTCTCGGGCATCACAGCGCTTCTTACTGTTCCCTACTTCCCGGCCCCAACACTCAGGCTCCTCTTCCCCCACAGAGCTGGATCTCTTAAGGCATGCCACCCTTGGAGGAGCAGACCCAGGGACTCTGAATGGGGAAAAGATTCCCCCTTCTTGGGAATGCTTTTATCTTAGCAATTTGGATTTAGGACAAATATACACACTGTTCCCCATGTGAAACTAAGTGTCACATGGGGCCAAACACGGTGGCTCACTCCTGTAATCCCAGCACTTTGGGAGGCTGAGGCGGGTGGATCACTTGAGGTCAGGAGTTCAAGACCAGCTGGCCAACATGGCGAAACCCTGTCTCTACTAAAAATACAAAAATTAGCCAGGTGTGGTGGTGTGTGCCTGTGATCCCAGCTACTCGGGAGGCTGAGGCAGGAGAACCACTTGAAACAAGGAGGCGGTTACAGTGAGCCAAGATCACACCACTGTACTCCAGCCTGGCTGACAGAACAAGACTCCTTCTCAGAAGAAAAAAAGAAACTAAGTGTCACATGGATTAAACACCTTTTTCACACTCAAGGAAATGCACAAACAACTTCTTTGCAATGTCTTCCTTTGGTAAAATTTGAGCTTTTGCTAATTTCTGTGGACTTAAAAAAAACTCATCATTCCATTGCCCTGCAGCCCTTAGGTAAACCCTGAGTTCTGGTCATGTGCGTCTTCAGGAGTAATGCTAGTCTGGTGGTGGTTTTTATGGGATGGGTGGGAAGAGGAGTTGGGGAGTGTCTCATGTCAACACCAGAGAGAGCTCTTTCTCTGGAGCTAAAATTGGAGCCATAGCAAATGAGATTGGAGCAGGGTTGTGGAGGTTCTCTAACCTGTGGAACCCATTTAAAGAATTTGAAGATGATCACCTACACCCAACTGGGCTTAGCGTCATCCCAGCAGGTTTAAGCCAGGCCTCTAGACCATTATCCTAGAGCTCCCTGCCTGTCCCTGTTGCCCACAACCATGTAATGTGGGCGTAGGAGGCTCTAGGCAGGAGCTGGGCTGGAGCCAGGTGGTGTCAGATTTCTCCAGTGGCTGAGTGGGGAGGTCTCTCTGGGGCCATTGGGAACTAGGCTGCTTTGTCTTCCTGCTGGGTCCAATTTATTTTCCAAAACTAAAATTTTGTTATGCCAATAAATGACTTCTGGTCAACACAATGTTCCAAGGCTCTGTGCCAGTTGACCCCTACTACCGCCTCCCACTAGCCCCAGGGAGAAGAGAAAAGGGAGTGGACTAGAGAGGGAAGAGAGGTTGGGCTGTGTGCACAGAGGGCACCCACTGCAGGCCAGACTGGGTTAGGAGGAAGAACAGGAACATACCACGCTCCACCCTCTAGCAGAACTCTAGGGAAGCCAGCTCACCCTGCTCAGGCCAGTGACCTGAGAAGGTTCTACAACATAATGTCACTCTTGTGCTGCTGTACCTGGCCTTTCTCATCTTAACTCACCTCACCTTCTCACCCTCACCACCCTCTTCCATCTGAACTGTAATTTGCCCAGAAATGAAAAGACAGTGTGTTTAGCAGAGTTCCCATCTTTGGAATGTCCTTGCCATGGAAACTCCTTGTTGCCAGTTTCTAGTCAATGACCAGGGCAGCTGGGTGGAGCTGTCTTCCTGAGGGCAGAGGCTGGGGGCATATACTTCCCACCATTTGGCTCCCTAGGGAAGCGAAGCTTCTCTGGACTTTTCAATGCCTGCCTGTGGCTCCTGCCACCACAGGCAAGTTCGTGGGCTTCACAGCCGCACTTCAGACTATCACTGCAAGGCTGTTTCCTTAACAGGGAAAAAAATCAACCCGCTCCCTTGCATAAACCAGGCTCCCACTCTCATTGAGACTACCACTTGGAGAGTGCTTTTCCCTTTTTTTCTGGGAGTGCGCCATGGCTGGGTGAAAATTACATCTCTTGGCAGCTGCTCTAACAGCTGGGAGGGAAGCAGTGAGTACAGTGGAGAAAGGGCAGCTCTTGGCAGAAGTCGCCACCCTGGTATCTGACCCAGAAGAGAAGTTTAGAAGAAAGAAATTCTCTGGTGTTAGCACTGACACCATGGGCCAAAGATCCAAGTGCCATGGAGTAGAGCAGATTTAGGCAGGGCCCGCCTCAGCTAAACCCTCTGAGGCTCCAAAGTTGATGACAGCCCAAAAAGAGCTTGATGCCAGGCAGACACTGCCTCCCCTTGCCCCATTCTCACTCCCCACCTCAGAACCACACGGAGAGAAGGGGTTTCATGGCATCTGGCCCAGAGCAGTGAGGCAGCTTGTCCTATTGAGAGCTGTAGAGCCGGGCAGGCGGGCCTTATAGACACTGAGTCCATGCAGGGCTCTGGGGTGGGCAAGGACACAGTCTTCTTGCTGGAACATACTCCCCGTGTTCATGCCGACATCATTCCAGCCCCTGTCATGGAGATGCCAAACTGGATTTCCTCGAATAGTGCCATCAGTGTTGTCCCAGCTCCAGCTGGGCCCAGTAGCTCCCCTGGCCACTTCCTCTGTCTAGCTTGGTTGTGGGGGTTGAAGGGTTTGGAGTTGGGAGATGGGATAGAGAATTTAGGAATGGGAGCAAGAATATTAGGAGCAAAAATCGGGAGGCCCCCCCCATAGTGGCTCATGCCTATAATCCCAACACTTTGGGAGGCCAAGGCAGGAAGATTGCTTGAGGCCAAGAGTTCGAGACCAGCCTGGGCAACATAGCGAGATGCTGTTTCTACAGAAAATAAAAATATTAGTGGGGTGCAGTGGTACACGCCTGTAGTCCCAGCTACCTGCGAAGCTGAAGCAGGAGGCTCGCTGGAACCCAGGAGTTCAAGGCTGCAGTGAGCTATGATCTTACCACTGTACTCCAGCCTGGGTGACAAAGGGAGACCCTGTCTCAAGGAAAAAAAAAAAAAAAGAAGAGTTGGGAAACCCTTATCTGCACTGGATGGGAGCCCTTTCCTATCTGTACCTCCTTTTCCCAACAACCACACCCTCAAAAGTAACTTTTATTATCTTTGTCTCTGTTCTCCAGACATTCTGCTAGGAGGCCAGGACCTGCCCCACTACTGGGTCCCTCTCTAGTCAAAGATTCAGCTGTAGCAAGGGAAGGGTCCACCTGAGAGACCTGTTCTGAGGACCAGCCCTGTACCTTCCCCCCATAACAACTTTGAACGCAGTCTCTAGCTTCTTTTTTAAAAATTATTATTTTTTTATTTTTTAGAGATGGGTTCTCACTCAGTCACCTAGGCTGGAGTGCAGTGGCACAGTCAGAGCTCACTATAACCTTGAACTCCAGTGCTCAAACAATCCTCCTGCCTGGGCCTCCCAAGTAGCTGGCACTCTAGGTGCACACCACTGTCCCCAGCTTAAACTCAGTCTCTAACCCGCTTCCTTTTCCCATTCTACTTCCAGGTGACCACTGACTGGGACCTTCAGAAGGGCACTGGCTGCACTGAGGGCCACACGGGGACCTCAGCTGCAGCGCCTCTGGCAGCTGGCATGATAGCCTTAATGCTGCAGGTGCGGCCCTGCCTCACGTGGCGTGACGTCCAGCACATCATTGTCTTCACCGCCACCCGGGTGAGATACCAGCAGGTAGACAAGTGGCCTGGTCCAGGCTGCTCCAGAGTTTGGCTGTCCAGTGGCTTTAGATTCTCAATGTCCCAGGTGTTAGATACTAAGTCTCTTTCAGAGTCCCTTTCAGAGTGGCATACGTAAAGAACAGGTGTGGGGGCCCCACAAAGACCACAGGCCTAAACTCATTTTATCTGCAAAGGAGAGCTCTGGCTGTGCCTCCTGGCCCCTCTCTGGAAGCAAGCCACTGGGGTGGTGACATCATGGGCTTTGACCTTTTGTCCCAGCTTCCCTTGGGGAATCCATTCCCAGTAGCCACAGTGGGAGAGCATGGACGGGATCAGCCGGCAGAGCAAGCAGGGAAACCAGAGTTAGATTGTTGAGACTACACTGGCAATGCAAGAGACTAACCAGGACCTCTGTCCTTTCAGTACGAGGATCGCCGTGCGGAGTGGGTCACCAACGAGGCAGGCTTCAGCCATAGCCACCAGCACGGTTTCGGCCTGCTCAATGCTTGGAGGCTCGTGAATGCAGCCAAGGTGAACAGGTGTTGGCAGGGCAGGGTGCCCTGTGTGGGGGGACCAAGGGTCGGGGCTGAATGCCCCAAACGTTGCCTGGGATATCATAGGTGCCTAGTAAATATTCGTTCAGTTCATTGATTTAACCACTTCAACCCTCATCCCAGTTGATATCCATTTTACAAATGAGAAAGCAGACTCAGTGCTATCACTGAAGTTTCCAAACTACTAATAGAGTAAATGGGACCTGAGTATGCGTGGGACTCGGGATGCTCTGGTTCCCCTCCTCCACCCTGGACACAGCCATTTCCTCTGGTTCCTTAACTAGGGGCTGTACATAGCATTCCAGCGAGCAAGAAGGAGCCGAGGGCTGAAGGAAGGTGATGAGTGGAAAAATAAAGACAGCTAAACCTTCAAGATCGTATTGACAAGGGCGTGTGTGTTTGTGAGAATGTGGGTGTGATCATTCTTGTTTGTTGATTTGCCATCCCCTCCTTTCCTTTCATAGATCTGGACATCTGTCCCTTACTTAGCATCCTACGTCAGTCCCATGTTAAAAGAAAACAAGGCGATACCGCAGTCCCCCCGTTCCCTGGAGGTTCTGTGGAATGGTAAGTAATCAGCACAGAGTGGGTTAATCTTAGGCCTGAGGTTTGGGGCTGGGTGACAAGGAAGTTAAACTCGTCCTCCCTGCCAGATTCTACCCCCTTTCAGAGCTGAGCTCCAGCCAAACCTGTGGAGTTTTCTTTGACCATTTTAGGACATGTTACTGCTTCTGAGTTGGCTGCCCCGGCTGCTTAAACAAGACCTTTCTCCTGGGTTCCTAGTAGTGAAAAGGAGCAGCAGAGCAACTGAGGAGGAAGGCGGGTGGGAGGCATGGGACTAGGGCTTGGGGAAGTGAGGCGAGACCGGGGCGAGAGTTCAGAGAAGCTCCTGTGACTTCCATGCTAAGATCTTGCCAGAGAACTCTGGTCAGTCCTTTGGTGTCCGGATGAAGTAAAGGAGTTTGGCATTTCTTCCTTTGATTCTTAGGCTTACCTAATAGAGTCAGATGCGGTCTGCTGGGGATGGACAGAGGGTCTGTAGAAGTCTCCTAGGCTTTAGTGACCCATCCTCTGCCTCCGCCTCCGTGGTGCCCAGGGTGAACCACGACTGTCTGAAGAGGGTGTATCCTCTAAGCCAGCGACCTGGTTTTATGTTGAGCGAAGAGGCGGATGCCCTCGCTAGAGGAGAGTGTGGCTGGATCAGGATGCTTGTGCTAGAGGATGCCCTGTCTGCACATTTGCCAGCGTTTTCCCTGCCCCCAGCTCCTTGGGGGATTCTTTTTCCGTGAGTCATTCGCTACTTTTTGCAGAGGAAGCATGCTATGCCTGGTGCCCAAACCAGAACTGTCTTCACTTTTTCTGTCCTCCTAGTGATCAATCGAGAGCCATGGCAGGAGAAGGGATGGCCAGAGAAGGTTACTCAGAAGGGAGGCTGAGGGGTAGCTTCCCTCGGGTGGAGGTTTCACTGAGAAGAATTGAGTTTCCTCTCTCCTAACCACGTCCAGCACTTGCCCAATTTCCCTCCACGTGGAATGAAACCCCAGGCCAGTCACTTCATTTCCCGTAAAAGGAATGTTATCTTGGAAAGGGCATAAGGCATCAGCCAAGTCAGAGAAGTTCAGACACATTTCCAGGAATGCAGTTCGTTTGGAACCCCCTGGCTTTGCGCTTGCGTGTCTTAGAGATAGTGTGCCTTCAACTGCACCTTCCATCCACGGCTATTTCCCGTCGCATCTGTCAAATGAGGGTAGTGACTTCAAAGAGTAATATGTTCTCCCCAGCTTCGTCATCCTCTGCTTCCAGCTGACCAGGGGACGTTGCCACGGAATGTCTACCCTAGGCATTGAGGCATCTGGCAACTGCTTGCTTGTCACTAAAAAGTAAGAGAAAGAAGGGCAGATTGCCTGGGTGGAGAAGTGGCCTGAGGAAGAAAAACAGGATTGTAAACAAGAAAAAAGGAGGAAAAAGTGTATGGAGTTGGCAATGGAACACACATATTACCTATGGGAAAAAAGAAGAGAGCAAAAGTTTACAGAGTTTTCCCTCACCCCCGCTCCCTGGGATTTTTTTTTTTTTTGCCTTGAGTAATTTTGGACATGCAGAGTTATTCACAACTTGTGCAAAGTACTATTTTCATTGGCTTTTCAGAAGCCCAGTGAATTTGTCTTCTCCTCCACACGACCACATTTTCCTCTCTGAGCAGACAAAACAGAACGAATAAGTTGTGGGCTTGCTTGAAGGTTGAAGGAAATAATTCCAGTTAAAATGAAGGTTAAGCCCAGTCACCGATCATGCCTGTAATCCTACGCACTTTGGAAACTTTGGGAGAGGCCGAGGTGGCGGATTCACCTGAGAGGTCAAGGAATTGAGACCAGACAAATGACCAACAATAGAAGTGAAACCCCAGTCTCCACTAAAAATAAAAATTAGCTGGGTGTGGTGAGTGGGGTGCACTTGTAATCCCAGCTACTCAGGGAGAGGCTGAGGCAGGAGAATCACTTGAACACCGGGAGGCGGAGGTTGCGCAGTGAGCTAGAAAAGATAGCGAGATTGACGCACACTAAGGAATAATACATCACAGCACTGGCAAGATGAACAGAGTGAGACTTTCTTCTCAAAAAAAAAAAAGGAGAGTTGAGCAGCTCAGTCCCAGGCAGTCAGATTAACCAATCTTTGGCAGCCAAGTTTATGGATTGTTTTTTCCGCCAGGACCTGGTTGATTCAGTGTTGGGGGCTGGAGAGTGAACTTTTATAAAAGCAGTAGGGGGCTGAACATCCGCTGAGATAGAAGAGGAGGTAGGAAATACCTCTAAGGACTCTAGAGTAGCATTGTCAAAGGTTTTCTGCAAATGATGAAATTGTTCTATGTCCATGTGGCTCAGTCAGTGGGATCACTAGCCATCTGCAGTCTATTGCAACATTTAAAACAATGGACCCGGATTGGGCCAGGACATAGTGAGTCACACCTGTAATCCGTTTGGAAGCAAGCAGAGAGAGCATTGTTTACTCTCATGAGCTCAAACCAGGCTGAACAACACAGATGAGACATATATTTTCTGTACAAAAAAATAAAATTTAGGCTTGGGCTGTTCGGCCTGCTGCCCGCTCCTGGGAGGCAGCTGAGGCGGAACGGATTTGCTTCTGAGCCCCAGAGTCCAAGGCTGCAGTTAAGGCCATGGTTCACTACTGCCCCTCATACTGGTGACAGAGCAAGACTTGTCTCAAAAATCAATAAGGTGAGACGTACGCGTGCGGTACGCTCATACCGCGCCGTATACGTTCCCAGCATCTTGGAGACCAAGAGGGCACGGATCAACTTGGAGCTTCAGGAGTCGAAGACCAGCGTGGCCACCTGGTGAAACCCCAACTCTATTAAAAAAAAAAAAAATACAAAAATTGGCTGGGCCCGGTGGCTCACGCCTGTAATCCCAACACTCTGGGAAGCTGAGGCGGGTGGTTCACGAGGTCAGGAGATCGAGACCATCCTGGCTAACACAATGAAACCCCGTCTCTACTAAAAATGCAAAAAATTAGCCGGGTGTGGTGATGGGCGTCTGCAGTCCCAGCTACTTGGGAGGCTGAGTCAGGAGAATGGTGTGAACCCGGGAGGCGGAGCTTGCAGTGAGCCGAGATCGTGCCACTGCACTCCAGCCTGGGCAACAGACATGCTAATATAGAAGGCTAATATGACTAAGGAGCTAAATTTTAGTTTTATTATACTTCATTTTAATTTAGATAGTCATGTGTGGCTATGGGCTGCCATATTGAGAAGTGCTGCTAAAAAGCAAGACAGATCTTTCTCTCTCCCCACTGACAGGAGGTGATGAGGGAGAGGGGATTGGGGCCCCTTGGGTTTTTTAGAGCTGACACTGGTCTGAAGTCTCTACCTGAGGGTAGGAGGGAGAGTGGGGCTCAGTCTGTGATGAGAAGGTGCCTGAACTCCCACTTGCATCTCTCCTTTTGTTGTTGTTGCAGTCTTGAGGATACTGGCTAAGCCTCTGCCTGTGCAGTGAGTCCTGTTTCTTCTCCTCCCCAGGTCTTCCCTCTCTAACCAACATTTCCCTCTTGGCTGATTCTTCCCTTCTGCCTTCAAATGCAAGTCCCTGCCGCCTCCAGCCAGGAAACTTTTCAAATGCATGAACTGAAGCAATTTCTCTCCTTTCTCACACACTCCCTCTGCCACTGAAGACTTGCTTTCTTACCCATAGTGCCCCTTTCCTCACCGGTTTAGGAATTGGTTCAGGGTTCATCCTTTTTAATATTCTTGTCACTCTGACCCTATCAATGAGGCCTTTGTTGCAACCTCTCTCCTCCTGTAGCTTCTGTGGCCTTCTTGGCTGCGTAGCTCTCCTCTGCCGTCTCTGCCTGAGGTACTTGTTTTGTACTCCTGAACTGTGAGCGTCTTCTAAGGCTTGTTTCCTGACCCTTTCCTCACTCTACATCCTCCTCCTCGACAGTGCAGCTGTGTTTATGACCTTAGCTACCACTTCTCCACAAATGAGTCCTCAACCTAAATGTCTTATTCTGATCCTTCACCAGTGGAAAGGATAAGAAACTAGAGCATAGCTTCCATAAGATTATGGGCAAATAGTCCAGGCATGGTGGCTCACGCATGTAATTGGGAGGCCGAGGTGGGCAGATCACGAGGTCAGGAAATCGAGACCATCCTGACTAACACAGTGAAACCCCGTCTCTACTAAAAATACAAAAAATTAGCCGGGCGTGGTGATGGGCACCTCTAGTCCCAGCTACTCAGGAGGCTGAGGCAGGAGAATGGCGTGAACCCGGGAGGCGGAGCTTGCAGTGAGCTGAGATCATGTCACTGCACTCCAGCCTGGGTGACAGAGCAAGACTCCATCTCAAAAAAAAAAAAAAGAAAAAGAAAAACATTCCAATTTACCAAAGGCCAAATAATAAGATGCTTTTTATGTGCCAAGCAGTGTTCTCGGCATTAGCTCATTTAATGCATTGACTCATTCTGGTAGAGAGAGTACTAGTGTACTCATTTGCACTGCCACCCAAGTCCCCATCCACACTAAGAAGTAAATGGATGTAGCATGTCACTGTGTACACTGCGAACACAGACAAGCACTCCTTTTGGGATTCTATTCTGTTCCATAACATGTCATTTCTCTCCTGTAAGCCCCTTCTCTGCCACATCACTGCTCTCCTCTAACTATGCCATGAATATTTTCCATCATCTTTCTGTTCCTAAATCACTGTGTGCTGTTGATGTTGCATCAATGCATTACACTTACCATGTACAAAATTTCAGATCTCACTATCACCTCTCAAAAGCTGGCTTGCTTTCTAAGATTTTGCCATTTATGTCAGTGCCATCACCATTCCCTAGGCCCCCAAACTTGAAACTCAAGAGTTTTTCATCCCTTTATATCCCTCACCTCTCCCCAGGTCTTCCCCAACCCTTTCCCTTGCAATTTAATCTTTTTGTTTTTTTCTGTGAAATATCTCTCAATCGACTTATTCATTCTACTAATACTCGAGGCCTACTTCATCCCAGGCACTGTATTAAGTTCTAGAGACTTAGGGATAAGACACTGTTCCTGCCTTCAACAAGCTCCCAACCTGGTAGGGAAGACAGCCAGGTTTACAGGCATAGTGCAGTGTTGTAGGCACTGCAACAGGGACAACACAGGTGCTTTGAGAGCACAGCAGAGATGTCTCCTGCTGCTAGGGAAGAAAGGGGAGGCTTCTCAAAGAAACTGGTGGCCGGGCACAGTGGCTTATGCCTCTAATCCCAGCACTTTGGGAGGCTGAGGCAGGCAGATCGCTAGAGCTCATGAGTTCGAGACCAGCCTCGCCAACATGGCAAAACCTTGTCTCTGCAAAAAAATACAGAAATTAGCTGGGCATGGTGGTGCACACTTACAGTTCCCAGCTACTAGGGAGGCTGAGGTGGGGGTATGGCTTGAGCCTGGGAGGCAGAGGTTGCCGTGAGCTGAGATCATACCACTGCACTCCAGTCTGGCGACAAAGCAAGACTCTGTCTTAAAAAAAAAAAAAAAAAAAAAAAAAAACTGTGATGTCATTATTTTGTGAAGACAACTGGGGAAAAGGTGTGGGCATGATTTGTTAAATTCTCATCTGCCATAATTGAAAGTCAATACATAATGTCTCAAATTGATAAGCCATGAAATATCCATAACAGTTACTGTTTAGAAACACGAAAGTAGATCCCAGAAGAAAACAATTAAAAACCATTTTAAAAAGTTTGCTTCTGGGGAGTAGCTCCCAGGTGGTAGGGAATTGGTTTTTTCATTATAAGCACGCTAGCGCCAATGTACATTTAAATTTTTGCATACTATTTTGATAGAAAAAAAATGTCAGGGACAATTGGGAAGGTAAGAAGTAGCCATAGTGAATCTAAACAGTTTTCTCAAGAATTTTGACAATAAAGGAAAATAAATAATGTCTAACGCATATGTAGCCTTAACATTAGCCAGGTACCATTCTGAACGCGTTAGGTATATTAACTATTTAATCCTTGTCTCAACCCTATGAAGTAGGTACTGTTACTGGCCCCATTTTACAGATGAGGAAACAGTTCTCCCAGCTAGTAAGTGGCAGAGCTGGGATTAGAACCCAAGCCCGGTGGCTCCAGAGCCCATGCTCTTAACAGTGGTAGGTGGAAGAAAGTGAAGAGCTGAGAAAGGGTTTGTTTTTCATTTGTAGCAGGAAAGGTGCTAGTAAAAAGGTCCAGCCAAGAAGATGGATAATCAGGCTGAGCCAGTGTTTGACTTTTGTCAAACATTGCTGTGAAAGGACAGAAAGAGAAGGGAGCTTGAGAATGTAAACACACATGTTGGATGAGCCGTGGAATCTCAGCCAGTTAGGAGAAAGGAACTTGAGGGGTTGTGGGAAAATGAGGGGGTCAAGAAGAGAGTGGGGAAAGTGGAAGGGAGAGGTTGTTTTCAAAGAAACGGGACGTTGGCTTTGAAGAGGTGACAGATGGAATTATAGAAAATGAGGCTGGGCATGGTGGCTCGTGCCTGCAATCCCAGCACTTTGGGAGGCCAAGGCAGGTGGATCACCTGAGGTCAGGAGTTCGAGACCAGCCTGGCCAACACAGTGAAACCCCATCTCTACGAAAACTACAAAAAATTACCGGGCATGGTGTCATGCGCCTGTAATCCCAGCTACTTGGGAGGCTGAGGCAGGAGACTCACTTGAACCCAGGAGGCAGAGGTTGCAGTGAGCCAAGGATCTAGCCACTGCACTCCAGCCCGGGTGACAGAGCTAGACTCCGTCTCAAAAAACAAACAAACAAACAAAAACCCCTGTCCTTGCTCAGTCATCTATAGTAGCTCTTAGTTGCTTATTTAAAACAAAAATCTTTAAAGCCCTTCCCACCCTAGGTTATCCAGTCCCTACTTTCAGTACCCCTCTGAGCTACTGTCTCTGTAAAATGAAGGCATTGCACTCTGCCTTGCATATTGGAGTAATTTTTTTTTTTTTTTTTTTGGAGACAGGATCTCACTCTGTTGCCCAGGCTAGCGTGTAGAGGCACAATCACGGTTCATTGCAGCCTCAGCCTTCCAGGCTCAAACCATTCTCTCACACTCAACCTCCTGAGTAGCTGGGACCACAGGTGCTTACCACTATATCCAGATAATTCTTAAATTTTTTGTAAAGATGATGTCTCCCAGGCTAAAGCGATCCTCCTGCCTCAGCCCCCAAAGTGCTGGGATTACAGGAGTGAGCCACCAGGCCTAGCCTGGAATAAATTAATGGAAGAAAGGGTGCTTAAAAAGAATTGTTCTCGGCCAGGTGTAGTGACTCACGCCTGTAATCCCAGCACTTTGGGAGGTCGAGGCAGGTGGATCATGAGGTCAAGAGATCGAGACCATCCCGGCCAACATGGTGAAACCCCATCTCTACTAAAAATACAAAAATTAGGTGGCCGTGGTGGCGAGCACCTGTAGTCCCAGCTACTTAGGAAGCTGAGGCAAGAGAATCGCTTGAACCCAGAAGACAGGTTGCAGTGAGCCGCCAAGATCATGCCACTGCACTCCAGCCTGGCGACAGAGAGAGACTCTGTCTCAAAACAAAACAAAGAAAAAAAAAAGAATCGTTCTCATTACGGCCTAATTTCTTAATAGTCTCCAGTTGAGTCTTCCACTTCAGTAGTTTTTTTTTTTCTTTTTCTTTTTTTAATAATTGTAGATTTACAGGAGGTTTCAAAGAAATGTACAAGGGAAGTTCCATGCACCCTTCTCCCAATCTTAATGTTTCACACAATTAAAGTATAATATCAAAACCAAGAAACAGACATTGGTACAATCCACAGCATTTATTTAGAGTTCACCAGATATACATGCTGTCAATATTTATATATGCGCGTGTGTAGCTGTATGCAATTTTATCACATGTAGCCTTGCATAACTACCACCACAAACAAGATCTGGAAGCATTCCATTATCACAAGACTCCTTTGTGTTACCCCTTTCTGGCGACACCCATTCCCTCCCTTGTCCCTGGCCCCTGGCACCCATTTATCTGTTCTCTATCTCTGCAGGTATGTTACTTCAATTAACATCACGTAAATGGAATTGTGTGCTACACGTCATTTTTCTTTCTTTTTTTCTTTGAGACAGAGTCTTGTTCTGTTGCCCAGGCTGGAGTGTGGTGGCATGAGCATGGCTCACTGCAGCCTCCACCTTCCAGGCTCAAGCGATCCTCCCACCTCACCCTCCCCAGTAGTGGGACCACAGGTGCACACCACCACACCCGGCTATATGCTTCTTTCGAGGTTATTTTCACTCACATAATTTCATTGAAATTTATCCACCAGCATTTTTTAAAAATTAACTGTGCATAGTCTTCAGTGAGATGTGTGCATTTTCACCCATCTTTGTTCATGCCTTTTCCACTGCCAACAATGCCCTCTACCAACCCTCTCTGCCAATCTGTATTCATTTCCTTCAGCGTATCTCACTGCTGTGTGCCTTAACCCATAGACTTATTTCTCCTTCCTTATCAACTATTATGTTTCCCATACCATTCATTTTCCAGCTTGCAGGTAGAGACAGGGACCATGCCTAAAGGATAAGAGATCGTTTAATTCCCAGCTCTACAGTACAGTGCCCGAAATGTAGGAGGTATCGCAGTAAATAATTTTTGATGTATGGAATGGACTGAAGTTTCGCTCTTACTGGATTCTTATATTGTGTCTGGTATGGTGCTGTCTTCCAAACTAGGACTCGAAGCTATGTTGTTAAATTTGAGAGCAGCAATCCATTATTTACTAGTATAGCGACGGGTCCAGTTAAGGGGTTGCCGTTGACATTTGTATGTGCTTCAGTGAGCGTTGTCTTTGTTGTACGATGGGGTGAATGAAGGCGTGGTTGTGGCTGGTTCCAGCTGCAGCACGACTTTCCACAGGTGCAGCAAGGGATGGACCTGGGAGATTGGCGGGGTGAAAGACCTTGGAGCATGTGGCCTTGAGCAGTTTCCTTATCACCCCCGGCGCGGCAGCTTGGAACTGAGTTGTTCTGGCCAGCGGCATAGTTGTTCCCTCATCTGGCGCCCCCGCGCATGACTCGTACGTACACCGCCCAAGGCCTGGCAACCCTCTCGTCCAGCAAGGTTTCCAAAAGAAAAGAAATGGGAGAAGTGGATCCTGGCAATGTCCTACAACACTACTTGTTGGCAATGGCGTTGATCCCTGGCGGCTGGAAGCCTTTCATCACATGCCCTTCAAGTGCTAGGGCCCTTTGCACCTCACATACATGTTTGTCTAATTTCCTCTTCTAAAATCCAGTAGATTAGATTTGTAACTCTTTTTACAACATGCGGAACTGGCCAGGTGGTGCCTCACCCGTAATTCCAGCACTTTGGGAGGCAAGGCAGGAGAATCCACTTGAAAGCAGGAGTTTCAAGACCAGCTTGGCAACAAAGTGAGATCCGTCTCTCACAAAGAATTTAGAAGATAGCGCCCGAGCATGGTGGTATATGGGCCATAGGTCCAACAGCTGCTCAGGAGATTGCGTGTGGGAGGATCACTTGAGCCAGGAAAGTCAGGCTGCAGTGACGCTGATGAATCATCACTGCACTCAGCTTGGGTAACAGATGTGAGACCCTGTCTCTAAAAAAAAAAAAAAGAATGGGAAACAAGTCATGGGAGTAGTAAGTGCCCAGAGAAGAGAATAAACCTAGACCATGGGATTCCAAGCCTGTGCACACTCCATGGCTTGCTTTTTCCACCACACCACGTTAACACAAGTTCCTTCCTTCCATTGAGACCCCAGGGGCAAGGGGTACCCTCCCAAGTTTCCATGGCTCCAGGAGAAGTGTTGCTGGGGCAAGGTCTAAGCCTGCTGGCCCCACGCCTTCACTGTTTCTGCTGTGTTCTCTTTGCCTCAGGGATTCCACACGGCTTCAACGGACTGGGAACCTTCTCCATCTGTGCGATGCTGGGGGGAGAGAGCCCGAGGGACTACCAGGCTTGTCGTCAGGGGATGTCGGCTGAGCCTTGTGCCCTCGCACCAGGCCCTGCTTTCCTGCTTGTTATCTGGTCCGCTCTGCATCTCAGAGTGCCCACAGACAGAAAGTTTCCCGCGTGTGCGCAATATATAGGGTTGCCATTGGACGCCAAGAGGTTGATGCAAGATGTGCCCATCCATGGAAATGGGCTTGCGCTCTCTGAAACGTGTTCATTTATACTGCCCTTCATATTCCCTGGGAGGAGCGAGCCCCACCCATCTATTCTAGAATCAGCCCAAAGTCCTTGTTGAAAACCACATTTCAGTCCTTTTTACGTATAACCATCCTTCGGCCTAGCCCCGGTAGCGCAGGTAAGGGCAGTGACCATTCACCATTTTTTTTTTTAAACTGGCCCAGAGGTTTGAGGTGACTTGTGGAAGGTCCCATAAGTGAAGGCCACAATGTCCATGCTTTGAATCTCTTTAGTGTCAGCGATAGACTGGAAATTGGCTCAACCCTCCCATCCTCCAGTCAAGTTAGGTATTCACTAGACCCAGTGTGTTTTCAAAGCTTGCTTTAATTTGGTAGAAAGACATTTTCTCCAAGCAGAAATCCCAGCTGAACCCCCAAAATTATGGGAGAGAAAAAGCAAGACTCTGCTTTGGGAGTACAACCTTTTCAACCTTTTTCATCCCTAGGGGCACCGCAGTGAGGCCCTTCTGCAGATCCTGGGGGTCAGTGGGACAGAGTTGAGGCAGTTCCTAGAGCAGACCATGTGGCCTGAGCCCCTTTGGGTGGAGCGGTGGGCAGGGCCTCTGCTGTTGGCATGGCTGACAGAGGGCGTGGCTCACGAGCTGCCCCTTGCTGCCCTTAGGGGATGGAGTCATTCCAGGTCGGCATCCTCCGGCAATGGCAGCTGACCCTATATGGCTCTGTGTGGAGTCCAGTAGACATCAGGGACAGACAAAGGTGGGTAAAGCTGCATGTGTCAGATGGAAGGCCACTCACAGGGGAAGGGCCGCCTAGGGAGCCCATCGCCCTCTGAACCCCGGCTGTGTTTCCCAGCTCCAGCCTCAAGCCGGGAGATGGAGCCCTGGGCTGGGAACTTAGTCTGGGCCTCTGCTTTTTGCTGTGAGGCTTCCCTGTCTTCAGCTGTAAGAGGGGAAGATGGGTGAGGGCAGATGGTATAGGCACCACAGTCAGTGGGGCATCCTTATCTCTTTTCTTCTCCACAGCCTGCTAGAGAGTGCCATGAGTGGAAAACACCTGCATGATGACTTCGCCCTGCCCTGCCCACCGGGGCTGAAAATTCCTGAGGAAGATGGTTACACCATCACCCCCAACACCCTCAAGGTACTAGGGCCAAGACTCAAGCTGCGGGTAGACGGGACTGTCCTGTCTTGGGAATGGAGTTCTTAGTGTGCTTCTCAGGGTGACCTGCGTGGCAAAGGACTGGGAAGACCTGGGTCCCAGCAGTGGTTTCATAGCATTGCTCCTACCCTGCTAGCCTAACTCTTATAGGACAGGTCTTGTTCGGGGGTGGGGAGGGGGAAGAGTTTGTGTGAAAAAGGCAGTCCCTAGAAGGAAAAAGACTTTCTGAGCTCATTGTCCTGGGCTGAGAAAGCTTGTAGGTTTCGGGAAACAGTGCCTCACATAGGTGCTTGCCTCGACCCCAGACCCTGGTGCTGGTAGGCTGTTTCACCGTCTTCTGGACCGTTTACTACATGCTGGAAGTATATTTGAGCCAGAGGAATGTGGCTTCCAACCAAGTTTGTAGGAGTGGACCCTGCCACTGGCCCCATCGGAGCCGGAAAGCCAAGGAGGAAGGGACAGAGCTAGAATCAGTGCCACTTTGCAGCAGCAAGGATCCAGACGAAGTGGAAACAGAGAGCAGGGGCCTTTCCACCGCCTCTGACCTCCTTGTCCCAGACCTGCTGGAGCAAGGGGACTGGAGCCTGTCTCAGAACAAGAGCACCCTGGACTGCCCTCATCAGCACCGAGACCTACTGCACGGGAAGGAGGAGCAGATCTGCTGACCTCAGGGCCTGACAGTGTGGGACAGGCTCTTCTTTCCCAAAATTAGGGAGCTCTTGAGAGAAAGCAGCCCTGATGCTTACATGTGGAATCTGAGGCATCCTCTGACTCCACTCAAAGAGGGTGAGGGCCTTCTTAAGATACAAACGGCAGAGGATTGCTGCCAGAGAAGTCTGGTCAGAGCCACAGGGTCTTCCTCCAGCCAAACGGGAACTTTCGGCGAGAAGGTGTTGGACAGGGGATTGGTGCCCCCTTTGGGTTGGCCTCCATCCTCATCTCTCTTGGGCCAAGCCGGTTGCCTAGGTTCCCCACACATGGGGGACCCCCACCCACGCATGAGTTAAGAAGATGCCTGCCATAGCCAGGAGCGCATCTCAATGGAAGCGTCACTGCGGTCACTTGGGAAGAGGACTTTGGGGTAGAGGCTGGGAGGAGCCCCTGGACATGCCTGTCCTGAAAGCGGCTACCTCCATCATCCATTCCCAAGATGCCTGATCAGAAGCCAACCTTGAATGAACCCCTGGCTCCTTCACCTCCGCCCCCACGATTGGTATGATGCTGCTGGCACAGCTGGGATACACACGGCTCCCCCAGGCCTGAGCTGCTTCACTAGGGAATCCTGCGGCAGGACTGCAGAGCAGATGGCAGACGCGCGTGTTGGAGGAAAGAGCCTTGGGAGCCACTGCCACTCCAGTCCTGCCACCACCCTGTCTTCCTCTGCAAGTGCTCAGGGAAATGGCCTTCCTGCCGGAGGCCAACTATCTGCCTGACAGGCTGTGACTCTTCTCTCAACCTTGGCCTTCTCCCCTCTTCTCAGCTAGTTGGTTGAATTTTTTTTTAATGCTTAAGATTTTTCTCTTCTCACAGCAACATTTTCTTGAATTTTTTTCTGCACAGCTTTTCCAAAATAAAAACCTTCCAAACAATTCTGCCACTTGCAATCTCTCCTTTCCTCTGTCTCCCCAAAATCGCTGCACACTGCTGAGTGGCTCCTTTTTCCCTTCGGTCCCCGAGATTTTTCCCTTCGGTCTCCTGTTCTTCTACGGCCTGTTTCCTCTGAGAGAATCTGACCCTCCCAGAATCTTGGCACGTGAAGGGTCCTTCAGAGGACGGCAGCCAGGAACACATACAAGCCTGAGATGCCTGCCTGTCCCCTGCTCAGATCTGGAACCCTAACAGAAGTGACCAGAGCAAATCAAACTCTGCCAGCCAGGCCTGAGAAAAGATTGATGTATTTTTTTTTTTTTTTTTTTGAGTTCCAACCCCAAAAATATTCCAGGAAAAGATTTTTTTTTTTTTTTTTTTTGAGTTCCAACCCCAAAAATATTCCAGGAAAAGATAGGGGGCAGGCTGGGCTGGTTCTTCTTCAATGGGCTTTTGCCGCCAAGGAGGACAGTGGACTTAGCCCACATCCAGGCTACCCCCAGCCCGCTCGCTTCTCCCCTGCTTAGCCCAGGGAGGAGACAGTAGAGGTGGTGGGGGCAGCCAGGAGGGAGGGGCCAAGGCAGTGATGCTTTCGGGTAAGAAGTTGGGCTGAGGCTGGGGACACAGGGAGGAGCTGCCCATGTGCAGTTACCGTTGCTCAGTGACAGAGCCTCAAAGCTTGGCCAGGGCTGAAGGTACCACACAGGTGTGGGTGAGGCAGGCTAAGCGGGATGGCTGTAGCCAGGGAGCTGGGGAGGGCAGGGCTCAGGGCTGGCCCTCTCCCCTCTAACTGATGATCTGCCGAGGTCGTCCGTAGCCTGTCATGCCGGCCTGGGAGGCCCCTCTGTTGGTGCCCATCTGAAGGCCAATGACATGCTTTCCCTCCTGCAGCTGGCTCTCTGTGAATTCCCTCTTATGCTCCTGCGCTTTCCTAGAAAAGGAGGAACCAGGATAAAGACTTGCTAGAACTGTGTGTTTTCCACCTGTTTTCTGATCCCTCTTGTTACGTCCTAGCCCGATCCCATTGCCTTCCTGTTTCATGTTTTTTCCCTACTCTAGCTTGCCTCATAGGCTACGGAGACTGAGCGCAGGAGGGTGGAAAGGGAGGGGTCAAGGAGTATTAAGGACCCGTTATTCCCGATCTCAGACCCCCACTTCATCCCTTCTTGGCTATCTGCTTCCCCTAATCCTTCCCGCAAGCTCCTTAGCACACGCTATCTCCCACCCCATGTGGAGACACAAGCTCCCTGGGGGCCACATACTTCATAAACCAGTTGGGATCTCCACGGTAGTGCCCATCATTCTTGGTGACTGCCAAGCTGCCCAAAGCCATCAGGGTCCTCTGCACTGCTGCCATGTCTTTGCCTGTGAGAAGACAGGAGAGAGGAGACGAATATCAAGAACGTATAAACAAGACTCCAAGCCAGGGCCTGCCCCCGTCTCTCACAAAAAAATGGCCAAACCAGGGGCAAGAGCTGTGCCCAATTCAAGGGAGGCCTCTCAGTGGGCCCTGTGAGCATGGCGTGTTATTCTCGGCATATCCCATCCCTGCTGTGTGCAGGCGAGCACACCCCTAGTTGTGGCATATTCTGGTCATCCCCTCTCTCTGCCCCAGCACCCTGTCCTCCTGCCCACCTCCTCCCCCAGCCCTTTCTTCCTCTCTACCTTCAAAGAGATCAACAGTCTGGAACATGTCAGTCTTGATGACCCCATAGTCCTCAGCCGCCTTCAGGAACTGAGCCACCTGCTCCATCTGCTTGAAGACCATGGAGGGCGGGTTCTCAGGCACCTTCACCGGCTTGGAGCCATCAGGGTACAGGCTGTTCACCAGCTTGCTCAGAATCTACCAGGCATAGGGCATAGGACGCAGCTTAGCACTCAGCTCAGGGATTGGTCCAGGACTCACAAGGTGGCACACCCTAGCCCCCCAGCCCAGGGTGCCACTCACCACGCCATTCTTCAGCCAGACCTGGAAGCCCAAGCGCCCACGGTCTGGGCGGCCCACATCAGGGCCGCACTGCACTATGATCCACTCCACCAGCCGCTCCTCCAGCTCCTCATCGTACTTCTTCTCAATTTTGGACTGCACTTCGCGGCTCATGCCATAGGAAGGACCCTTGTTGGCCATGTTTGGGGAGAGCTAAAGCAGGCCAGGGTGGAGGAGGGAAGGGCAGAGGGTCAGAGGATCAGGGAGCAGCTCTGCTTTCACCTGTGCCAGGCGGCCTTCTAGCTCTGTGCAGGGTACCCAGCCATCCTAGACACTTGTCACAGCACTGCCCATTCAGGCCAGGCTCAGCCCCTAGTCCAGACACCTCTCTGAACTTGAACACCAGGAAACAGGATACCAGGTCTTTGGAGGTCTAGAGCAGGGGTCAGTAAACTGTTTTTGTAAAGGACAAGACAGAACATAGTTTAGGCTTTGCAGGCCATGTGGTCTCTGCTGTTGCAGTGGGAAAGCAGCCATAGACAATATGTAACAAATGAACATGGCTTTGTTCCAATAAAACTTTATTTACAAAAGCAGACAGCAGGCTGGATTTGGCCCATGAGCTGTAGTTTGACAACCCTTGGTCTAGAACATTCTTTGCCAAGACCAGCCACAGAGCCACTGGAGAGATCTTCCAGAAGCCACATTGCCCGCACAGAATACAGCCAGCTGGGGCGTTTGTCCAGCAGCAGGTGTGAGGGTTTACTGCCTCTGCCTCGAGGAACCATCACCTCCCACTCTCACCCAGAAGCTGGCCCTGGCCTGGAAGCCGGAACTCCAGAACTGCAGCTCTTTTCAGGTCAGCTCAGCTTCTGGTCTGCAGCTGAAGAGACTAAAACTTGCCCACCCCAGGCAAGGGCTAGGAAGCCACCAAAGCCCAAGAGCTCTTGGCAAAGAAGCTGCATTTCCTCAGAGGAACCAGAGACACCTGGTCTACCCATCGACTTCCCCTCATGCCCTTATGGTCTCATAAGGCTACCCTTAAGGAGTAGCCTGAGTAACCAAGAAGTCAGAGTCCCCCAGGGATCTTCCAGAGCCAAGAGTCTGCCTGCCAGGGAATGGGAAGCCCGGCCCCATCCAGCAACTGCCACCCTGAGGGCCTGGGCCTGGCACTGCTCAGGAGTCCCACTCATGGAGGGGGGTGGCAGCAGGAGCAGGCCAGGCAGGTAGGTCCCTGGGCAGATGGATGGGGGTGGCTGGGAACAGGAACAGGAACCTGACTTGGCCACTAATGTCACCCTAGGGTGCTGTGCCTTCTCTCCAGTGTTTGTCTGAAGAGACTTCCACAAGAGGTACCAAAGGAAGCCGAACCCATCTCCTGGCCTCAGAGGGTCAGAGGTTGGGAGGGACACACTGGTCTGAGGATGGAGGCAAGAGCGCGCTCTCCCGGCCCCCTCTCTGGTGAGACCCCTCCTCACCAGCACCCCACCTGCGGGAAGCAGAGCGAACACTGTCACACCCCAGCGCTCCCGGGCCAGCTGCCCAGCCCAGTGCCCTGCCCTTCCTTTCCCAGGGCTGACAGCCTTTCTGGGCTCGAGTTCCTCATCCGTGAAGTGGGGGTTATGTTATCGACCTCAGAGGGCTGTGAAAATGGGACGGTGTCTGTGAACTCCCTCACATATTGCCCAGCCCTTAGCAGAGCTCCTCGAAATGTCAGTTCTTTGCTGCCCAGAGCCAGGCTCCTGGTAATGACCAGGGAGAGAGCCTGCTTTTGACCAAGGAGTGAAAAACTGACCTAGAAATGTCAGTTCCTTGCTGCCCGATCCAGCCTCCACCCCTTTCTCACCATCATTCCCTGAGCACGCAGCAGCGTTCACATGGACTCATCGAAGCGCCTGCCATTGGGCATCCCTCTCCTCCTTGCGTCTATTTCCTTATGTGTAAAGTGGGGACAGGACCACCGCTGAGGACCCAGTTCTCTGAGCACTGGGGATGAGGTGGGCTTCTGGCCCAGCCAGCCCTCTCCCTGCCAGTGATGCCAGAGACCCCAGAGACAGTGCTCTGTTCCACTGTTCAGCTACAAACAGCCAATCCCCCCCTTCACCCTAAGTGTCCCAGCCCCGCTCCCCAAACACCCAAGGACTCCTGCACAAAGAACTGTGGTCCAAACCCCCAAGCCAGCTGGGACCAGGTGATTTCGGTAGCCCTGCATCCTGGCCTCCATCCATCCCAGCCTGTCTCAGCTTTTGCATCACCATCCCAGACAGGCACCCACCTTCTGTCCCTGGCCCTGCTTCTGCCCCCCACTCCACCTGCCCTCATGCCTGCCTTCCCCTCCCGCACCCCTGCTGGGCTCCTGAGGAACCGGATGGAAAGAGTGTGTGTCCCCTACCCCCAGCTTCCAGTCTCAGGAGGATCAGAACAGACAGTACAGGTCAAAGCAGCAAGGCTAAGGGTGGCAGGTACACAACACTGCAGCCCCCAGATCTAGAGATAAGATTTGGATTTTGGTCAGAGGGAGGATGAAGCACACACCACCCCCACTCCCACCCAGCACCACCATCCTTCCCCTTCCTCTACCCAGCACCACCATCCTTCCCCTTCCTCCTCCTGGGTCAGGGTCTGAAGGTAGAGAATCCCCAGAAACCCTTTAGAGTCCTCTGATGAAGCCTCCCCAGACCCACCTTTGAGCCAGTGGGGAGGGGAGAGGAGGATGACTACGGGGCAGCCCACCCAGGGGCATCTCAAGACACTCCCAGGACAGCATGGACAGGCCTGGACCCTCCTGCCCTGTGGCTCCTGCCAGGGCCCCTCTCCTGAGGTGAAAGTGGGCAGTGGAGAAAGAAAGTCCGGGGCAAACGGGCAGGTGGCACCCCCTACCAGCAGAAGCCCAGAAACGCGAGTAGAACCAGGGGACCCTGCAGGGCTGCTGTGCCCCTTCTCTCTTCCCAAATAGGAGTGAGCACATCGGGACCTCTGAGAGGGCAGGAGGGTGGCTCCTCTCCACTCCACAGACAAACAGAGTGGCCCGGGTACATAAATGCGCGCCATCCTCACTGCTACCTTTGGAATAGTACCTCGAAAGGAAACTACGCTTTGGAGAAGACCAAGGGTCCCAGGCCTGCCCTGTCCATCACTCCGAAGCTCCTCCTTGGCAGTACCCGCCCCCACCCCTCTGCTACAGTGCGGGTGACCTCCCACTGTCAGACAGTGGAAGGGGCTGCTTGTCGGAAGGACAGGCCTCCCATCTCCACACTCTGCTGCCCCAGACTGTGGAATACCAGAGTTCTGTGGCCCTTCACATTGTCGCAGGGCTATCGCTGCTGCTCAGGCCCTGGGGACCCGCCAGAGTGGGACACCGTGCTCCAACACAGGTGCATTCACCCACTCCTCACCTCCTTGGAGGTTCTAGAGGGGCGACAGACAGCAGAGCCTTGGCCTAACCAGCCAGCGCCTGCAGCCTTACGCACACCCTGTGGATGCGGCTGACTGAGATGGGGAGCCTCCCTCTCACCCCGGTGGTTTCCACCATCAATTCCTCTGCACCAGCCAAGTCATCCCAGGCATTACAATGAGCCCAGGGCTGCCCGGTCTGAGAGAGATCCAGGACACTAGCGATCCAGCCCACTCTGCCTGGAGCTTGGGCCCCCACGCAGACTGAGAGGTGAGTTTTTCCCCAGCCAGGAGCTGGCGCCTGGGACCTCAGGAGAGCCTGCCTGAAATGCACCCACTGTTCCTGTCCATCTCCAGCCCAACTTCCCTCCAAGCCCCAGCCAGTGCACTCACAGGGCTTCCTCAGGGCTCGCAGGAAGGAGTGAAGACTTGTGTCTGGGCTAGGACAGACAGGATGGGGCGCTGGCTGGGTGAGGGGTTTAAAGGGCTGCCGCTGTGGTGATGTCAGCCTCCCCGCTGGCTTGCTCCTCGGCCCCCTCCCTGCTGGAGGAAGCCGGCTCCCCTCCCCACCCCCGGCTCCCCCAGTGACTCCACACAGGCTCCATATTTGGGGAAAGACACCAAGTTGGAGCAGTCTACCGGGGCTGCCGAGACATTCTCTGCATGCTTTGGAGATGGAGCGGGCCAGGGCGGGGCATGCTGCCGGCGGGGAGCCGGCCCGGGAAAAGCCTTTTATGGACAGGACCCTGCCCGGACTTACGGCTGCTCCTACTTCACTGCTTTCTGGCCCCGAGTTTGAGAAGAGGGGGAGTTCAATAGAGTCTGGGTGGAGAAAGGGGCAAGGGGCTGGGGAGCTGGGGATCCCAGGGGTTTGTGGGGACAAACCAGCCCCCCTCTCCTCCTGGGGCTTTTAGCTCTGATGGGACATGGATCCAACCTTTCCTGAGGACCTACTCCACACCAGGCCCTCTGCAGTGCTCTCAGTGAATACTCACAGCTACATTGTGAGGATGTAATTACATCCCCATTTTACAGATGAGGAAACTGAGGCCCCGAGTGCATCTTCCTCAAGGCCACATGGTGAATGGTGAGTGGCAGATCCTGCGCACCTCTGCCGACTCCCGTGGGTGCAGGAGAGGTGGTCAGACCCACCCTTTCAATTGTACCACACTGCCCAGATTGAGAAGAGCTTTCAGTTCAGGTAGGTCTTGAGTTACATGCTTTAGGCTGGGATTTGAGGGTTCGGCAGAAGCTGTGTCCAACTCTGGTCCCCATCCAGTGGGCAGTGTCAATAAGAGGGTCTCTAAGGCCTGGCAGGGCCTGAGACACTAACGCAGGAACAGGAGACTCAGGAGGCTGGTATCCCTTCCTCCCTTTAGTAACAGTCCCTACCAGCCTGGAAAACAGACCAGCCTCTGTCCCTCCACGGAGATGACCCACTCCCATCTTGCTTGTACCTGGCTTCAGGGATCCTGGGGAGAGACAGGAGGTTAAAAAAAGTGAGACTAACAGTGGGGTCCCTGGACTGCCTGCTGTGGCACTCCCCTGCAAGGGCACCTGGTAGGGAGGACCTAACACTGTCCACTACACACACGCCACCACACCCGGCACCACCCCAAGCCAAACAAGGCCCTAGGAGGGGGCTGCCAGGCCTGGCAGAGGAGAGACCCACCTCTGCAGTTCCACCCACTGCAGCCAGACGCGCTCGAGCCCAGGGGAGGCACAGCCATAGCACCTCCCAGTGGCGCCTGCGGGAAGAGCAGGAAGAGGAGCGGGGCCCCGGCAAGGGGAAAAAGCCCACTCCTCCATCCCTGACGCCGCAGACCTCTGGTTGTGTTCTGAATTCACCAAACTCCTTGGCCTCCAAATCGTGTCCTCCTTAGCTGACTGAAGTCTCAATGAACCTTTCAGGGACATATCAAAACTCCCTCCTCTTGGAACCTGCCCAGCTTCCATCACCCTCCTGCCTCAGCCTGCATGCTCAGCAGATTACAAACGCCCCATCAGGGAGCACTGCCTGGGCCTGTGGCCTGGTGAGCTGGGGGGCACTCGGGTCAGAGATGAAGCGAGCCTCAGTCTGGCGGGCAGGGTCAGGTGGGCAGAGACTGCTGTTCCTGGGGAGGTAAGGACGGGTGTCTGAGGGATGGCGTGGGAAAGGCTTTTTCAGTAACCAGCCTCTATCCAGCACAGTGCCCCGGTAAGTGTTTACTGAATTGATGCTGTTGCTGGAGAGACAGGAAAAATGGGAGAATCAAGGAACTGCAGTTCCCAGTAGGGCCATGGCTTGAAGGAAGGGGAGATGGAGGCCCTTCGCCTCTCCCCTCATCCTCAACAGCTCCACCCAGAAAGGGAGTGCAAACAAGGGGCCCAACAGCTGAGTCTGGTTGTTTATTGAATGCAAACTCATTCATAGAAAACGGAAATGCAACCATAGAATGGAAACGCTCTGAGAAAAGATCCAGACCCACCTCATCTCCCAGCCCACGCAGAGCTATAAAAACAAGTCTGGGAGAATAAAACACATTCCCATCCCCAAGGCAGAGGCCCCCACCTGAGCTGCCCCATCCTTGGCATCTGGAGCGGACCAGGTGGGACGAAGGGGCTCCAAGGACCAGGGTGGCCAGGGCACCCAGAGCTGGGGCAACTCAGTGTAAACTCCAAGGTTTCGTAGGCATGTGTGTGCGTGACTAACAGAACTTGGCTGAAGACTGGACGGAAACTCAGAAGCCAGCCCTGGGTCCTAGAACGAGGCTAGGACTGGGCACATACAGGGAAACAGCGCATCCCTTCCTGAAGCCCCTTTCTAAGGCAGGCACTGGGGCGCCCGCGGCTGTGGAGGCGGCACGAGCTGAACTCTTTGTACCGTCCCTCCTTTGCCCCTGGACATTCTTGGGCAGCGTCAATGGCACTGAAAGGCCCCCAGCTGGGGCTTGGCAGGACTAAGGGCCTGGAAAGAAGGAAGGGAAGAGGTGAGGTGCTTCTCCCTCCAGTCCTGGTGCTGGCATCAGTCTGGGGGCTGATGGGACGAGGAGGTGACCTCTGAACTCAGCCTCTTGAATCAGAAGGCTGTTCTCAAATTGGGCTGACCGCATTGCTAAAGAGCCAGCCCTGAGCACAGGTCAGAGGGAAGGTAGTACTCACCGCCCCGGGCCCCTTGCAGGCCTTAGCACCAAAAGTCTGGCACCAGTTGGCCAACCCCCAAAATCTCATACCCCCATCCATCCTGGCTGACTGGAATGGGCAGTGATGACAGCCAGGGACAGCCCCAAAGAGAACTGGGGCCCTGATACAGGACAGAGATTCAGGCCCCAGACTAGGCCCTGAAGCGGGAGTATGGGAGGAAAAAGGGGCCTTAGGTCCCAGGCTGGGGCATTGTGGGGAGGAGGACGGGCAAAATGCAAGGCATGAAATGGGGAGGGTGTTCCTTCCATCCTTCCTCTTGCAGAGGGACAAATGGAGAGCCAAAGGATGGGGCCCATAGAAGGCCCCAACACTGAGAAGAAAGCAGCAATTTGGCCAGTGTCCGGGGGTTCCAGGGGAGCAGGCCTCCTCCTTGGCAGAGGACAGCTGCAAGGCTCCATGCCACCCCATGACTGTCCCAGGCCAAGCCTAGGCTAGACCTGGCTGTCCTGCTGCCATCCAGTGCTGGGCAGCGGTGCTGGGACTCATCACCACAGCACGACAGAGTGCCCGGTCTGTGACATAAAGGAGCTCAGGGCCCCCTGAGGTGAAGCGAAGGGCCCAGCTCCTGCTAGAAGACATAGATCTTGTCCCGCTGCACAGTGTCCAGGTCGTCATCCAGTGTCAGCAACACCTGGGGGGTGGACGCCAGATCAGCCACAGAGAAGGAGGCAGCTGCTACCTTCACGCACCCACCCGGCTTGGCCGAGAGGCCCGCTTACCAGGAAGGACCCGAACATGGCGATGGAGGAGAGGAAGTGCCAGATGTCGTGGTCGTCAAAGAAGTCGAGGAGGATGCAGTCCCGGTTGTGCTCCCTTGACTCCGCAGGGGTTTTCTTGGGGAGCAACAAGAAAAACTGCCGAGTGACCCTGCTCTGCCAGGGCCAGGGCCAGACCCATCTGCCATCTTGCTCCTGGGCACCCCTCTCTCCAGCCCCAGGCAGGACAGCAGCAATTCTGACCTGTCCCTTGTCCCCACCCCTTCCCGATCTAAGAAATGGCCTTTGGTTACAAACTTCTCCCTGAGTTCACTGGCTTCTCTTCCCCTTTCTTTCACTCTTCCCCTCCTTCCTTCTGGTTCTCTTCCCTTGATCTAAGAGCACAGGGTTGCAACAACCTTGAAGGCCTTCCGCTGAGGATGGCCGAAGGCTTCTCACCCACTTCCCGGCCCTGGACTCCGCCCCTGCTCTCACCTTTCTGCAGGTTCATTGGTTTTTCCAAAGCACTACTGTCAGGTCACACCCCTGCTCTGGGACAGTAGCCATAACCTGTGGCACTCACAGTCTTCCCTGCTCTACCCATAAGCTCTATCCCATAAGCTCATCCAGGCCGTGTCTGTCTGTGCTACATGCCGAGGCCACAGACATCACCAAGACCTGCCCCACCCTCACAGTCGGCTTGGCTCCCAGATGAGTGCATTCACTGACCTCCAAATCTGCCCCGTATCATTACTACTAAGGTCAGAGCAGGTCTGGGCCATGGGGCTCTTCCCCATTTCCCAAACCTGTTTTTTTTTTTTTTTTGAGACAGAGTCTCGCTCTGTCGCCAGGCTGGAGTGCAGTGGAGAGATCTCAGCTGACCAGGGCCCCAGGCTGGGAGGCTCTGAACTTTGGGGCAGTGTCCCAGGCTGTGGGAAAGGTGAACCTGCCCTGCCCTCTCACCGTCTGGTAGGCTACCACACCCAGCTAATTTTTGTATTTTTACTAGAGATGGGGTTTCACCATGTAGGCCAGGATGGTCTTGATCTCTTGACCTCGTGATCTGCCCACCTCAGCCTCCCAAAGTGCTGGGATTACAGGCGTGAGCCACTGTACCCAGCCCCCCTCACCCAGGACTTTTATAGCCCAGAACAAGGCCCACTTCTTCCAGGAAGCTTTCCTGGACTCCTAACTCGGAGAGACCCCTTAGTCTTCTGTCCTCCTGCCCCGTCTTGCCTGTGCCCTTCATTTCATGTATCACATCATAAACAGCACTGAGAGTCATGCACCAATAGTCCTTCCAGCCCTCTTCGTCTAGTTTATGAGTCCCTCAGAGACCATGTCAGACTTAGTTCTGTTCCCAGAATTAAAGCCTGACATGTGGTAGGTGCCCTGCAAGGCAGAGAAGAGAGCCCAGCCTCGCTGGCTTCAAACACCAGCTGTGCCACTCACTGGCGACGTGCCCTGGGGAAGTCACGTGGCCTCTCTGAGCCTCATCTGCCTCGTTAAGTAAAATGGAGCTATCTCCAGGCTGGAATTCTAGGAGGATTAACTGGGACAGCTGCTATGAAAGTGCTGGCCTATGGTAGGTGTTCCCAAATGATGTTCGTGTAAAAATTTTTTTTAGAGACGGGGTCTGTCATCCAGGCTAGAGCACAGTGGTGCGATCTCGGCTCACTGCAGCCTCGAACTCCTGCGCAGGCTATCTTCCTGCCTCCGCTTCCGGGGTAGCTAGGACTACTGCACTACTGGTGAATGCCACCACACCAGGCTAACTTTTTTATTTTTATTTTTTTCATTTTTTGTAGAGACGGGTTCTTACTATATTGCCCAGGCTGGCCTTGAACGCCTCAAGAGATCCTCCTGCCTCAGCTTCCCAAAGTGCTGGGATTACAGGTATCAACCACCAGGCCCAGCCCCAAACAATGATTGAAAAGAGGACTGGCCACTTGTGGGCTCGTGAGGAGCCTGTGGGTGAGTGCTCACCTGCCAGGTGCTAAGCCCCTGGAAGAAGAAGAAGAGTGCGAAGCCCCAGACCACCGAGGTGCAGACGATGCAGAGCAGGGGGATGAGCTTGATCCTTTCCCCACTCCGGAGCTGGGAGGGGCCATGAAGGGACAGCAGTCTTAGGGCTCACCCCTGTCCCACCCCACTGTCCCACCCAGCCTTTCCCAGATTCCCTTTCCTCATGGCCTCCCAGGCCTTCAGGACTGCTCCTTGGATTCATACCATTCCACACAACCACAGAGATCAACCTGCCCCCGCCCCGATGTCCACCCCACCCAGCCTCCATGCATCCAGAACCCTGTGTCGAGACAGTGTACTGGCCTGGAGGTGCTCCCTATGCAGGGGGCTCCACTCAGATTGGATGGCAGGATGGTTCCTGGGGAAGCACCTGATCCTGGGAGGCCCACACCCTACCTCCCCCCGGCCCCTTCTGCATGGAAAGGGGCACTTACAACGGCAGCCTAAAATGCCACCCATTTCAAGGGTCCTTGGAAGGGGCTCAGAAAATGGCCTTTGGGCTGCAGTTGGCTCCTAGGGGCCCATGCAAGAGGCTTTAGCCTCTCCCCTCCGCAACCAGCAGTCTCACTGCCCCTCAGTGCTGCCGGGCCCATCTCTCTCCCCAGAAAGCAGAGGATCTGATAGAGTGCCAGCCCCGCTCACCTTCATGATGATGTAGAAGGCGAAGTAAAGAAGCAGGTTGCAGATACCAATGGCCAACAAGTAGGAGGCGAAATCGTTGGGGCGCATGATGAGCCCATAGGCAGCCCTGGCAGGAGGGATGAAGGGTGGTGAAGCAGGAAGGCCAAAGGCAAGGAAGCACTCTTCCTGCCCTGCCCCACCATGTTTTATTATGATGTTGGGCTGCATTCCGAGGCCCACAGAAGATTCTAGAAGCCCACATGCCAAGAGACAGAGGAGAGGCCAAGACCTCTCTTCTTAGCCCTCATGTCTTATGCCCAACATTTGGAAGTTGTCCTCAGCCCCTGATGCAGCCAGTGGCTGGCTGATTCCCCAGCTGTCCACCCAGCCAGGCCGCCACCCCCGACTGTACTCACAGTGACCAGTTGATGACGTTGCCCATGACCAGCAGCACCATGCGGTCCTGGAGGGAAGCAGGACACGGGGACTGAGGGCAGGGCCAGGGAGGGTGGTGGAAGAAGGCCCAGCCAGCTGGTCCCCACCCTCCCCTGGGTCCTCAGCCCAGCCCCACTCCCCCATCAGAGGGAAGAAAGGAGATGTGGAGAATGGGGCAGGAGAGCCGGGCAGGTACCACGTAGAGCGGCCCGCTGCACTGCCGGATGCAGTCTGTGTAGAGCACGTGGAGGATGCGGCGGAAGATCCCCGAGTCTGCACAGAGAAGGGAGTGGCGCTGACAGGCACGGGGCACCCTCCTTTGCCGGACCCCTGGGATGTGCCAGCTGAGGAGCCCAGGCCTGATCTAATTCCTCACCCAGTGACTCCTCCAGGGCCCCCAGGAAGACAGAACCTGAGCGACTCCCGTGCGTCCGGGTTCCTGAGGCCTCCCAGGCCCCTCCCCCAGGCCCTGCCCCAGGTGTGCCCTCACCCAGTTTCCAGCGGCCCATGTAATAGAGCTGCGTGCTGAGGAGCAGGGTGGCAATGATGTGAATGATGGAGAAGACAATCCAGAACGCCGTGTTCCCTTTGCCAAAGACCTGTCGGGAGGCCACCAAGGGCAGCGGTGAGGGCGCAGAGGGAAGTGGCTTGGATGGCCCACCCTCCTGGGGCTCGCTGCTCAGCCAGGCTGGGACTCAGAGAGGGGCCCAGGAAGGCATCTCAGGAGAGGAGCAGGAATCTGTCATGCAGGAGGCGGCGGAGGGTGTGCACCACGTGTGTGAATGCGCGTGCACCTATCCTATCATACAGGCTGAGCAGAGCAGGTCAGGCCCTCACCACGCCCAGCACAGAGAAGAAGATGACGATGGCCAGGCAGGCGTAGGCACTGTAGGCACTGGCGTTGATGTCCGGGTGCCGCTTCTGGTAGAGCTTCAGCATGCAGAGTCCGGCGATCATGTACATGAACGATGTGTCTAGGATGAGGGACACGGAAGGGAGCTGCAGAAATGGCCACCAAGCCCCAGCAGAGAACTCCTGGCCCCAACAATCCCAGAGGAAGAGAGAGCCCTGGGGCCCTGCCATGGCTGTGGAGTGAGCTGGTGGTGGGGTGGCACTTGAACTTTAGTACCTTAGTTGTACCTGCCACACCACACTGCCACCCCACTGGCCGTCGCCCAGAGTCTAACATCTCCTGAAGACAGAGACAACTTAGTCTGTGTCTTAGTCTGTGAGCACCCTGAGATCAGGGACGCCCTTTTATTTTTTTGGAGACAGAGTCTCACTCTATTGCCCAGGCTGGCGTGCAAGGGCAGGATCTCGGCTCACTGCAACCTCCGCCTCCTGGGCTCAAGCAATTCTCCTGCCTCAGCCCCCCGAGTAGCTGGGATTACAGGCGTGCACTACCACACCCAGCTAATTTTTGCATTTTCAGTAGAGATGGGGCTTCACCATGTTGGCCAAGCTGATCTCAAACTCCTGACCTCAGGCGATCCCCCCGCCTCGGCCTCCCAAAGTGCTAGGATTACAGGTGTGAGCCACTGTGCTCCGCACAGGGCCCCCTTCTTAATTATCCTGTTTTCTTCAGTGTGGCACATGCCTTTACATAGGAATAGCTTGACAGACAAATGAAGGAGCATCTAGGTGCCCATGTTTCATAGGCTAAGATATGTACACACCCAGGCACGCCAGCCTTGGAGTTTCCTACAGGGCTGTCTTAGCAATCCCTGTGGGTGACCTGGGGATGGTAAAGGACTCAGGCAGGTCCCTGCTGCGGGTAGAGCCAGAAAAGAAGGAGGCTCCACTCACCGAACTGGAAATTGGTATAGTTGGGGCACACGTGATAGCAAGCACTGAGCAGCCCCTCCATCATCAGGGCTGTGCCCATGGCGTAGAACAGCCCAAAGTGTTTGGGGATCCCACATTCCTGTTGGGGAGAGAGAGAAGGGAAGGGAGGGAGGAAGTGAGGCAGGAAGAGAAGAAGGGACCCAAAAGAGGGACCCTAAGAGGAGTGGAAGAGGAAAAGGGGTGGGGTGTGTGTCGAGTGTGGGTGTGGGGGGGGGCGCTGGCCTGGAAAGGCTGGGCAAGGGAGGGCAGGGCAGGGTAGGGCAGGCTGGGCTGGATAGGGTGGGCCAGACAGGGCTAGGGAGGGGAGAGCTGGGGAAGGCAGGGCCAGGCCTGCCAGAAAAGGCATCCTGGAGCCAAGGCCTGGGGTCTGTGCGGGAGCTGAGGCTGCGGCAGGCAGGCAGGTGCTCCCTCACCAGGGCATAGAGGTCGTTGCGCAGCAGGGCCCGGTTGTGGTTGATCTCCCGCTGCAGGATGATGAGCAGGAAAAGCAGCCCCAGCAGGATGTACCCCAGGTTGCTGAGGATGTTGTTGAAGGCGCTAGAAGGGGCGACACAAGGTGGACTGTTTGGGCCTCACACCTAGGCCTCTTCCCTAGCCCGGGCGGGCGTTGCAAAGCCCCAGCCCTTGCCCCATTTCACCCTTGGCCTGGACAAGGGGCCTCCCAGCATAACCCCCACCTGAGGTTGCCCAGCGGGTGGGCGCAGAGGAAGTTGTAGTAGCAGATGTCCTGATTCCCTGTGACATTCACCACCTGTAGCAGGAGCAGGGACAGGGAGTGGGTCTGTCGTCACGCCCAACTCAGCCCACACCCCGCCACCTGGGCCCCTTTGGCAAAAAAGAGCAAGTGCCACCACAGCTAGCAGGTGGGAACACACAGCACCCCAGGCATGTGCTCCTTCTGAGAACACGGATGCCAAGCAGCACAGTCACTGCCCCCTCAGTAGGCGTGGCTGAAAACCCTGAGGCATGACTGTGATGGAAGTTCTTGCCCCATGGGACAGAGACAAGGGAAGGGAAACTGATGCTTACAAAGTCCCAGGACTTTGGTTTCATAATCTGCACAACAAACCAGGGAGGGGCTGTCCCCATTTTGCAGATGAAGAAACTGACACTCAGGGTTGGGGGGTTATGTGATTTGCCTTGGGTCACTCAGCTGGGAAGGCAGAGCTGGGATCTGAACCCAGGTCCTGCGATGGAAGACCAGGGCCCCAGGCTGGGAGGCTCTGAACTTTGGGGCAGTGTCCCAGGCTGTGGGAAAGGTGAACCTGCCCTGCCCTCTCACCGTCTGGTAGGTGATCACCAGCTGCACCACAGGAAGGGCATAGAAGACAGCAATGGTGGCGATGTTCCTGAGGAGTGGGAGGGTGGCAGTGAGGCAGGCGGCACCCAAGGCCGCCACACACCCACCAACAGCAGAGCCCCAGCCACTCGGCCCGCTCACCAGAAGTAGATCTGGTACTTTTTCCGCAGAACACGCTTGTCCTTCCGTGCCAGGTCGGCCACATAGAGGTATTGCTGGGGAGAAGCTGGAATCAGCCCCACTTACTGCCACTGGGGAGAAGCCCCTCCCCCAGGTTAGAGGTGGACAAGAGGGGCCTCCCTCAGACAGGGCCGAATGCAAGTGGGCAGGGTTCAAGGCCATCCCACTGCTGCGGCCACTTAGACCCAGGGTTTGGTCAATCATGCCGGAAGGGGTTGGGGCTCAAGTTAGTTTCCCTGGCATCTGTCCTGCCCCAGCTGAGCCCCTTCCTTCTGCTTCCGTAAATGCCATGTCAGTAGGAACATGCTGGGGCAGGAACACAGAATGTCCCTTTCTTGGGAAACGCCTGACCAGGCCAGGCCCATGGGTCAGACCTTGGTGCGAATGACATTCTTGTCGGAATCAATGTCGGTCAATGTGTCATAGTCATCCTCCTCCACAGAGCTCATGGAGTCCACTCGGGGCCGAGTACCCACAGGTTCAAAGGAGCGGCCTGGCAAGGGCAGGGAGGGAGGGTTGCACCGGTGGGCACAAAACCCACAGTGGCCCTCGCCCATCTGAGGCAATTATAACAATTATTAGGCAGTAGGGAAGAGGCAAATTGTGGGCTGGGGCTCAGAGCTGGGGTGGAGGTGGGCTCAGGAGCTGGGAGGAGACATCAGGTGCTCCTAAGTCCTGGGGGAGGATGGTAGACTCTAGAAGAGGCCCACACAGGAGCCACTCTAGCTTTGCTCTGTTCCTGGCACCCCTCATGGGCTAGGGCTTCCCAGGCCAGGACACTGAGGAGACCCCAGGCAGCAGACACAAACAACAGGATTGAACTCGGCAAGTCATGCTGATTAAACGGCGCCCAGCCCTGTGGGTTCTGAGAAGACACTGGCTTGGCTGCCACTGGATTAAAGACTCAGTGGGCCTGGGGTGCAGAAAGAGCATCTCTCCTTTATTCAGAGGCCAGAATGTGACCCCCGAGCCTGTGAGCCCTCCCCTAGCAGGCCAGGGAGTGAGGGCGCTGGCAACACAGACGATAAACTAGAACATCCAGCGTAGGGGGAGCAGAGGCACCAGCTCCCCAGCCAAAGGAGTCTGTGTCGTGCTGCTGTCTCAGAAGACACAAGAGCGGGCAATTACTGGAATTACATGGGAAAGCCATGCACATAGAATCTTTCTGGCCCCAGAGCCGGCAGTCAACCGGAGCCGGCAGGCACTGATTGGCAAAACGGCCCTACCCCCTCCCCACGTCTACCCATGGCAATGCACAGCTGCCGCATCTGGCCAGAGGGGAGGCGCCGCTTGAACTGGTCGTGCCCTTCAAAGGAAAGGGAAAGTTACCAGGGAACTGGGGCCAAAGAGGAGGGGATGAGGGAAGAGAGGGGTTAGGAAAACAGCAGGCCTTTCCTGGGTTCCAGCATCTGGCAGAAGAGGCAACCGCCCACCGTGACATTTTACCTAGCCAACACCAGCCTGCACCACACAGCCCCTCCCAGCCTGGCCCACTCACCCTGGTAACCATAAGAGAGGTCCCCAGCGCCAGCGCTGTCAACCAGACCATCCGTAGATCCGGAAACATTCTCTGCAAGGAAGGATCAATGGTGAGGCAGGAAGGAGAGGCCGCAGGGAAAGGGGCTCTGAGCACCTGCAGAGGGTGTGGGGGCCGGAGGAGGTGGCTCCCACTCTACTGTCTCAGAGGTGGTGGCCTAAGGAGACCAGGTTGTGTCCCCAGCAAGCACGGCGCTGGCTTTGACACGTACCAAAGGAGCCATAGTTGTAACCCTCATAAGGGGAACTGCCAGGAAAAGAATCAGCCAGGACTCGAGGGTGACCTGCAATGAGAAGTCAAGGTTCGTTAGCGCTGGATGGAGAGAGAGGGCTAGAGCCAGGAAGAAGAACAAAGAAAGATCCAGAGAAGACAGCCACAAGGAGGCCATGCCAGCAGCCGAGAAGCAGCACCTATCCAGGCAAGCACGCCCCACGGCTGCCACCACCACCCGCCCCAGCCCCCTGCCTGCCTCTCCCATGGAAACAGCACCACCCTTTCTCGTCCCTAAAGAGAGAGAAAGTTCAAGAATGGGCACATCTAAGTTACCAGCAACAAAGACAACACCTGGCCCACCCACATGCCCTCCAGACAGCCCTGTGCTCCACCCTCCCTCCCCAACTCTGGACTCCAGCTCCTCTGCCCATAGCACTTGGAGCTTACCAAGGAGAGAAGCTAAGAGAGAAGGTCCCACGCAGGAGGGAGGACAGAAAGAGAGGGGGGGTGGAAGAGAGAGAGAAGGCAAGGTTAATAATCCCAGAGACAGTGGGCCGCACTGCCCAAGGCAGGCAGACACCATGGCTAGACATGGAATAAACCAAGCAACGGCCTCAGCCTCTGAGGTCTGCATGTTAGGGATGCATGGACATCATATCCCAGCCTCATTCCCATCTGTGGAATGTTACCCCAATCGGAACATCCGGAAGCCCCCAGCCCTTCCTCCTTCAACCCCTTAGGGAACCATCCACCATCACCCCCCAAAACACAAAGCACATTGTGCCCGCCCCACCCAGGCCCCCTGGAGGTACCGCTTTCTGGGCAGGCTCGGTCAATGGCCACCAGCAGGGTCTTCTTCTTCTGCCTGCATGGACAGAATCCAAAGGCCACCCAGATGGGGCAGGACAAGGATCCCTCTGTATGGGGCTGGCTTTCCTTCTACCTCTCCACTCCACTCTCATCCCTATGGCCCTGTCCTCCACCCTTGGTCCCAGGGTTCCTCACAGGCTGGGGAGCAATATGGGGTCTCCCTGCTTGGGAAGAAGGCTGAGGGGAGGGGATGGTTTCTAGAGAGGGTCACGGGCCACAGACTCTAACAGTCTCACCATCATCTGCTATGGATGGTGTTGATTACCCTAGGCTGGCTCAGATCCTGCCAGGCGATCTCCCTCACACACCTGCCCAATTCACCCAGACCAGGGGAGGGCCCAGCAGTTCCCCTTTACCTCCAGTTCTCCCAGCAGGCCAGGAGGACGGTCAGCAGGTAAAAGGAGAGAAATATACCCAGGCAAAAGAGCATCCCACTGACGTAGGCCTCAGCTTTCAGGAGGAAACAGGAAAGTGGATGGGTCAAAACCTTCCACCACCTCCCATCATGGCACCCAAAGGCCTTCATGTCCTCCTCCGCCCAGCCCAATCTCTCACCCCTCTCCCCTCGAATGTAAGGCCCTGCCCAGCCAGTATGAACAACTAGCAGTTCCCCTAATACACTGAACTCTGACACACTCCTATTTTTGCTCATGTTGCTCCCTGTGCTAGAACTTTCTCTTCTACTTCTCCTTTTTTAAGAGTTGGGGTCTTACTCTGTTACCCATGCTGGAGTGCAGTGGCATGATCATAGCTCACTGCAGCCTCCAACTCCTAGGCTCCATCTTTCCACCTCAGCCTCCTCAGTAGCTGGGACTATAGATGTGTGCCACCACACCTGGCTCATTTTTAAATTTTTTATAGAGATGGGATCTTGCTATGTTACTCAGGCTGGTCTTGAATTCCTGGCTTCAAGCAATTTCCCTGCCTCAGTCTCCCAAAGTGCTGGGATTATAGGCTTGAGCCACTGTGCCTGGCCTCTCAAAAACTCCACCTTGACTTAACCCTGAAACCACAGCTCAGGGACTGTGTCCTCTAGGAAGCCTTCTCTATCCTGTATTTCCACAGTGACCTGTCCTTTGCTCACCACAGCTCTTAACTGCCTCCTGTTCCTCTAGAAAGGACCCCGCCCCCCTCCGTGGACTGCTGCCTTAGCATACCACCTGGCATATAGGAGATGCTCAATAAATATTTGCTGAATAAATAATCCATATAAGAGAGGCACCCTTGGCCGGGCGCAGTGGCTCAAGCCTGTAATCCCAGCACTTTGGGAGGCCGAGACGGGCGGATCACGAGGTCAGGAGATCGAGACCATCCTGGCTAACATGGTGAAACCCCGTCTCTACTAAAAAAAATACAAAAAACCTAGCCGGGCGAGGTGGCGGGCGCCTGCAGTCCCAGCTACTTGGGAGGCTGAGGCAGGAGAATGGCGTAAACCTGGGAGGCGGAGCTTGCAGGTGAGCTGAGATCCGGCCACTGCACTCCAGCCTGGGCAACAGAGCGAGACTCTGTCTCAAAAAAAAAAAAAAAAAAAAAAAAGAGAGGCACCCTCAGGCTGGGCACAGTGGCTCATGCCTGTAATCCCCACACTTTGGGAGGCCAAGGCGGGTGGATCACCTGAGGTCAAGAGTTCAAGACCAGCCTGGCCAACGTGGTGAAACCCTGTCTCTACTAAAAATACAAAAATTAGCTGGGCATGGTGGCAGGTGCCTGTAGTCCCAGCAACTCAGGAGGCTGAGGCAGGAGAATCACTTGAACTCAGAAGGTGGAGGTTGCAGTGAGTCAAGATCTTGCCACTGAACTCCAGCCTGGGTGACAGAGCAAGAGTCCAAAAAAAGAAAGAGAGGCACCTTCTTTCCCCTCCTATTACAGTCCCTTAGGGCCCCATGTAATCATTCAGTAAATATTTATTGAGCACTGAGTAGGGGCCTGGTACTTTCCTGCTAATTTTGTCTGCTAATTTTGTGCTGGCCCTCATAATTAGTGAGATTCATTGGGCAAATTTTACTCCCTTTGTCATAGAGACAGGGAAACTGAGATTCAATCTTATAGCAGTGACAAATTAGGATATGTTTCTGAATATGAGATTAAGAAACATCCTTCAGAATAAATAAGATTATGCTAAGAAAGCAAAATTAAAGCTCTTTCTTACAATCAGGTAACTGCTGATAAGTGGCAGGAAGTGAACTGGACCTCAGTTCCTCCATCTTTAGTCATGAACTCTCTGTCCCACATCACACTGGAACTCACTTCCGGGCTCTCCCCATCTAGAAGCCTGCGAAGAACACTCCCCGTTCCTAACCCACCAGCATATCTGCATCCTCATCACCCACTTCAGGGCACACCCTATATCCCAGGTCTGAAAGGAGGAGCCAGAGAGGCTTGTCCATCCCCACTCAGCCACCCGCACTCACATGTGACTGCTTGAGACACCAGCACTGACAGGGTTTTCTGGCGGTGCCCTTGATCGACCGGTTCATCTGGAAGTAAAATGTCAAAGCAGCAAATTGGTTGCCTGGAGCTTGGCTAGAGTCAGTGGGACCAGGCCTTTGAGAGACTGGAGCCAAAAACCCATGTCCTATCAGGTCCACCAATCAGCCACACAGGCTCTTCTGGCTCCCAGAAAATGACCAAGCCCTCCCCACCCCTAGCCAGGCCCAGGGCACAAAATGTACCTTCTACGAAGGGGTAGAAAGGCAGGGAGCCCCCGCATGCTTGGTCTTCGGTCTTCACCACCACCACCACATAAAAGCTGTTGCTGGGGAAGTCTTTGCGCTGCAGGACGATGATGATAAATATCATCATCACCATCATCATCACCATCATTCTTTTTGGAATACTTATTCTGGGGCCAGATATTATGCTAAACTCTTCATAGGTATTACTTTACTTAATCCTCACAAAGATTCTTTTCTTTTTTGGAGATGGAGTTTTGCTCCTGTTGCCCAGGCTGGAGTGCAGTGGTGTGATCTCAGCTCACTGCAACCTCCGCCTCCCGGGTTCAAGCGATTCTCCTGCCTCAGCTCCCAAGTAGCTGGGATTACAGATGCCCGCCACCACGCCCGGCTAATTTTTGTTATTTTTAGTAGAGATGGGGTTTTACTACGTTGGCCAGGCTGGTCTTCAACGCCTGATCTCAGGTGATCTGCCCATCTCAGCAGGTGTAAGACACTGCACCTGACCTTTTTTTTCTCTTGAGACAGGGTTTCACTCTTTTTGCCCAGGCTGGAGTGCAGTGATGCGATCTCGGCTCACTCCAGCAATCTCCGTTTCCCAGGTCCAAGTGATTCTCCTGACTCAGCCTCCCGAGTAGCTGGGATTACAGGCATGCACCACCATGCCCGGCTAATTTTTGTATTTTTAGTAGAGATGGGGTTTCAGCCTGTTAGCCCAGCTGGTCTTGAACTCCTGATCTCAGGTGATCCGCCCACCTCGGCCTCCCAAAGTGCTGGGATTACAGGAATGAGCCACCGCGCTCAGCCCTATTATTATTACAATGAATGAAGTAGGTATGACAGCCAGAAGGGGGTTCTCTACTCTTTCCCATCCGCAAGAGCAACTGGGATTATGGTTCAACTCTCATACATATCAGGGGACTCAAAGTCACAGGGACCGGAAAGCCAAAGACTCAGTCTTGTGTAGCACAGGAGTGGGCAGAGGAAGAAGAGCTCAAGTGTGGAAAGTTACACAGCTTATCGCCCAGCCACACCTCCCACGTGGCCACATGCATTTCCTACCTGTACTGTGATGGCCGCCTTCTTAGTCATCGTCTGGTACATTCCGATGAAGGCTACGTTGTTGTCCAGGTCATAGACAGGACACTGCAGAGGGGCGGGAGAGGCAGATGGATGGCAACCTGGTCTGCCCCTCTCTTTAGCAGCCCTGCTGCCTGCTAGGGAAGAGCAAAAGGGCAGGCAACTCACCAGCACATCCTGGATGGAGATGACTGAGCAGGGGAAGGCCTTGTTGGAGGTCACCTTGACAATTACCGAGTCCACGCCTTCAGGGAACTCATACTTGAAGTACTGAGGGTGCAGGAAGGAGGGGGGAGCCCCATCTCATGAGGATGCTCTCTTGGCCCCTCTAGAAGGGAACCGTCCCCTATAAGCGGGGACCCAGAATCCTCTGAGGGACGGGCAGCAGGCTCTCTGGGGAGATAGGCCTTGACCATAGCAGCCCCTTTCTCTGTATACCACTCCCTTCAACCTCAGCAGGGCACTCAGTGGAATGCCGGAGAGGCAACCAGACTCCACGTCTCTGCACAGTCCCATGCTGTCTGTCCCCTCACCATGTCAGGGCCAGAGCTCCTGTTTCCAGAGAGCCCTCCATGGAGAAAACAGCCAACTCAAAAGTCCAAGCAAAGACTGCTGACCACTCCCATTCTCATATTCAAGCTCCCCCATTTCTCCTCTGGAGCAATCAACAGGGAGATGATACCTGGGGCTGTGCTGCTGTAGTATTGAAGCTGAACTGCTCCCCGGTCCTGCAGGGCAGAGAAGATCCCCCAGTAGTCACTCCCAGAGCCTGCGGAAGAACTAGCCCCCGTGGTCCCTTTGCTCTACCCTGCAGACCTGAGCACAAAATCGTCCATGCGGCTGACCCGGAGCTGGTACGTGGTGTTGACTGGTGACAGGGTGGACACATCCACGTAGAAGAACTGAATCTCCGACTCATTCTTGGTAGGGGGCTGACACAGGGTTCGTTCCACTTTTTGGTAGAGGTACTTGCGCTGAAACCTATGGCCCGAAGCAGAGAGATAGGATGTGAGCACTGTCCCAGCTGGCCTGCCCCTCCAGAGGAGCGAGGCCCCACCTCCCCCGGTCTGGTCTCCACCACCTCACTGCGAGGTGCACAAGCTCCCAGCTGGCACACTCGGCCCTTGTGCTGTTGACGAGCCTCCCGGCCCAGGGAAAGGGGAGGAAAAATGGGGGGCTCCTGGTTGAGACTCCAGGCAAGGACTGGCTGAGGCCACCCCACTTCCCTGATGCCCAGATCCTACTCACATCCCTCGCAGGATTAGGGGCACCTGGAAGGACACCACAGCCTCCTTCTGGCGGACCACAAACAGCAAAGGCGCCCCCTTCTGCTTGTTCAGGACGTTCACGGACACACGCACGCCCTCTGTCTGCAGACGACATGGAAATGCCTCTCAAGCCTCTGCCACCAGGGACACGTGGCTCCAGAGACTATGAGCCCTGCCCTCCATCATGCCCGCCACTTTGGTCTTTCTCCATCTCAGTCGGGCCAGGGGGTCATCTCTGCCCCTTCTTCTGCCAGAACAACCCCAGACTCCGGGAAGTGCCTTTAGATATGAAAAAGGAAGAAAGGACTCTAAGCAGAAAGAGATCAAACTTCAGAGAATCAGGCACTGGGGGCACATCCTGGCCTGCCATAGAAACCAAAACCACTGCCTGTTCTGAAAAAAAAAATCAGATTCCCCATTCTCAAGAAAGCAAGAGACCCAGGCACAAGACCACACAGCCAGGTTGCAAGAATTCTCCCAATCTCAGCTGTCTGGGGTCTAGACTTCCCACACTAGCTGTGTCTGTTTCAACTCAGGGACTCACAGCTGGGGAAGAAACCAGGAAAGACCTGTGCTGAGCACAGCTCCTGGCCGGCAGACATGTGCTGGGCAGCAGGACCCAAGCAACTGCAGGGTCTCGCCCTCTGCCAGGAAACAGGGAGTCTCCAGGATACCCCATTTCTATCCATGTGCATAGGATGCACAGGCCTGCACACACACACGTGTACACACCCCCAAACACACATGAAGACACAGGAGAGCAAGAAGTGCTCCTCAACCTTCCTTGTGAGCCAGGAAGCCAGCAGGAAGCTCTAGTTAACAACTAACCTGGGGCCAGAGCCCAGAGGAGGGGTAGGTATTGAAGGCCATGTTGTATCCTTAGCTCCCACCAAGGGACAGGGCTGTGGAGAAATCACTTTACTTCTCTAAGCCTCAACTTCTCCCTCTATAAGATGACAGCCAGGTGCGGTGGCTCACGCCTGTAGCACTTTGGGAGGCCCAGGCAGGAGGATCACCTGAGGTCAGGAGTTCGAGACCAGCTTAGCCAACATGGTGAAGCCCCATCTCTATTAAAAATATAAAAATTAGCTGGGTGTGGTGGCAGGCACCTGTAATCTCAACTACGTGGGAGGCTAAGGCAGGAGAATCACTTGAACCCAGAAGGTGGAGGTTGCAGTGAGCTGAGATCACACCACTGCACTTCAGCCTGGGCAACAGAGTGTGAGACTGGTCTCAAAAATAAAAATAAAAACAAAAAAGATAAAGTGATCTTCACCCTTGGAGCTATGAAGGAGCATATATAAACAACGGGAGCTTAAAGGAAAAATAAAACTAAATCCATCTTTGAATGCTTGTTATTGGGCTGCTGAAACCCAAGCCCTAGGGCAGCATTTCCCAAGAGAGTAAAAACCACTGCTCTTCAGTGCCTTTAGATATGGGAAAAAAGGAAGAAAGGACTCTAAGCAGAAAGAGATCAAACTTCAGAGAATCAGGCGCTGGGGGCACATCCTGGCCTGCCATAGAAATCAAACCACTCCCTGTTCTGAAAAAAAAAATCAGTTTCCCCATTCTCAAGAGAGCAAGAGACCCGGGCACAAGACCACACAGCCAGGTTGCAAGAATTCTCCCAATCTCAGCTGGGGTCTAGACTTCCCACACTAGCTGTGTCTATTTCAACTCAGGGACTCACAGCTAGAGAAGAAACCAAAGAGAAGTCAGGGTGAAGTGGATTTTTCACAGTGGACAAATTCCCCTTCTCTTCCCACCCAACTTACAGTTGGCCTTATAAAAGCTCTGTCACCCTCAATTTACAAGGCCAGCTGGCTCTCCCAGGCAGGAAGAGGGCTGGGAAGCCCTGCATTCATCTCCCTGGGGAGTTTCAGATGTAATTTGCCTGCACAGAGCTTTTCAGTTCTGGGCGTCTCATTCCCTTGAGGTTTTCTGGGTAAGCCCAGTAATAAGCCTGTTTCCTCTCCCACCCAGACCCCACAGAGCTGTCAGATTCTGGGGTTTAGGGTAGAGAGCAAACCATGTGTGCTCAGACCACAACTGATGGAAGAATGGGGGTGGAAGAGAAGATGGGAATGAGCCAACTTCAAAAACTGCCCAGCTGGAGCTTCAGAGAAACACTGATGGCAAAGGAAGGAGGACTGGTCAAGAGGCTCCAGTGTGGTTCTGGGAACTGGGAACCCAGCAGGGCGGCTCGTTCATGGGGCCTCCCAAAAGAGTAGCGGGGCGACACAATCTCCTAGCCCTCGTCGGCTCCCCCACTCGCCTCTGACCTCCCAGCCCCCAGCCCTCACCCGGTTGCGGGTCACAGTATGGTTGAAGGTGTAGATGTTGACCAGCTCGCTGTTGACCTCGTCCACGTAGGTGCGCTCAAACTCGGCGTCTTTCTGCGAGACGTTCTTGGGCCCCAGAACCCCCAGATAGCTCTCGACCGAGGCCACCAAGAACACCAAGAAGGGGAAGCCCAGAGCGAACATGGCCCCGGCAGGGCGGCAGTGGCAGCGGTGGTGGAGGCGGCGAAGGCGACAGGCGACAGGACACCTCCGGGACGGGTTGCGGCTGCGGCCGCAGCTTCCAGCATCTCACCAGGACCAGAACTTTAACCCTGGCCTGAGATTAGGAAATGTCCCCTCCCAAGAGCCGCGGAGAGGCTCCCAGGGTCCCCGCAGGGGAGGGGGCGGCCGGGAGGGGGCGGGGAGGGAGGGGATGCGGGCTATGGGCAGGGGTCCCAGCTCGCGAGGGGCTGAGTACGGCCTGAGACCCTGGAGCCCCGGGCCAGGGCCGTGAGGAGGAGGGCGGCTGGTTGCCGGGAGCCCGGAGACGCCGGGAAAGGGGAGGGAGGAAGAGCAGGCGACGGGGGCTGGCCGCTGAGGGAGGCGAGTCGCGGGGTGAGGGGCGCGATAGGTGGTAGCGACCCGACGCCGTGCTGGGCTGCGAGTTTTCCGAGGTGCGGGCCCTTTAAGAGCGGGCGGACGCGCCGCCCCGACGCACAAACACTGGAAAGTGAGCTGCGCCGCTGGGCGATAAACAGCAGGGCTGCTGGCCCGCCCGCTGACGTCAGGGGAAACTGACACAGATTTAAAGGACCAGGTCCCGCATTTGTCCTTAAAGGGGCTGCAGCTGTCTAGCTGGAGGGGAAAGCCTGCAATGCCTTCTACAACTCCTACCCAGCTCTCTCCCGTTACTCTCACCATCTCTGAAACTCATGTTGGAACAGGCAGATGTTTCTGTTAAGGATCTCCAAGTGTTGGGTTCTTGTTGAACAACTCCTACCTTTGCTCAAACATAAGGATTCCCCCCTCCCTGCGCCGCACCACCTTTACAACTAACATCGTCCATCCCTGGGCCATTGTTTCTCCAGGGATCTTAAAAAATGAACTCAAAGGATTAGGAAACAGGACGGTGGCCCTACCGGCGGAGGGGAAACGGAGGCAGCACTGCAAGAGGAATCCCCATGCCTCTCCCACCTCCCTCTGGAGGGGCCACACAGCTGCAGGGACGGCCTTCCGAGCTTCCCAAGCTTGCTGGGCTGGGGCTGTTTCCCCTCTTCTCTCAGGGGCAGTTACAAAGCTCATTGAAAGATACTGACCTTCAGTGTAAAATGGTGAAAACTTTTCTACAAAATATTTTGGCACTGTTTCAAGAAACTTAGAGAGCTTTATACCCTTTGATCCAGTAATTCCACTTCTGGACTCTATCCTAAGGAAATAGGAAGCACAGATAAAAATACGTGGGCAGCTACGCTTATCACTGTGATATTTATAATATAAAGCAAAAAGGAAACAACTTGGAATCCATAACGAGGGATTGGTTAAATGCACTATCATGAAGGCATCAAAAATGATGCTTAAGACTTCAAAGGACATGTAAGCAGAGAATTCAGATATGACACTAAATAGTATATAGGGCCAGGTGCCGTGGCTCATGCGTGTAATCCCAACACTTTGGGAGGCCAAGACGAGTAGATCACTTGAGGTCAGGAGTTCGAGACCAGCCATGGTCAACATGGTGAACCCTATCTCTACTATAAAAATACAAAATTAGCGGGGCGTGGTGGCGCGTGCCTGTAATCCCAGCTACTGGGGCGGCTGAGGCAGGAGAATCACTTAACTCTAGGAGGCAGAGGTTGCAGTGAGCTGAGATTGTGCCACTGCACTCCAGCCTTGGCTGCAACAGAGAGACTCTGTCTCAAAAATAAATAAAAGTATATATTCCAAATACATATAGACAGGCATAGAAAAATAGAAAAAAAATTGTACTAAAAATTTATCAATGTCTCCAGAAAGCAGGGCAAAATTTAAAAATAAAATTTAGCAAGTTACCTTTGAACTACAATTTAAAAAATAACATATTGTCTATCATTTTCCTTTAACTCTAAAAATATAGAATAGTACCAAAAAATAAAAACTAATGGATTGTGAGTGGTTCTTAAATTTTTTATATTTAAAAAAATGTACAAGTGTTCTACAATGTACATATATTGCTTTTTTTTGCGGGTGGGGGACAGGGTCTCGCTCTGTCACCCAGGTTGGAGTGCAGTGGCACAATCTCAGCTCCTTGCAACCTCTGCCTCCTGGGTTCAAGCAATTCTCGTGCCTCAGTCTCCCGAGTGGCTCGGATTACACGCATGTGCCACCACACCCAGCTAATTTCTGGTTTTGGTAGAGATGGGGTTTCGCCATATTGGCCAGGCTGCTCTCAAACTCCTGACCTCAGGTGATCCACTCACCTCAGTCTCCCAAAAGTGGTGGGATTGCAGGCATGAGTCACCATGCCCGGCCACATATATTGCATGTATAAGACAAATTAGACTTTTTTTTTTTTTTTTGAGATGGAGTCTCGCTCTGTCGCCCAGGCTGGAGTACAGTGGTGTGATCTCAGCTCACTGCAACCTCCGCCTCCTGAGTTCAAGCGATTCTCCTGCCTCAGCCTCCCACGTAGCTGGGACTACAGGCACCCACCACCACACCCTGCTAATTTTTTGCATTTTTAGTAAAGACGGGGTTTCACCATATTGGTCAGGCTGATCTCAAACTCCTGACCTCAGGTGATCTACCCACCTCGGCTTCCCAAAGTGCTGGGATTACAGGGGTGAGCCACCGTGCCCGGCCAAATTAGACATGTTTAAAGGAAAAGAAATGTGGCCATCTCTGAAGCTGTCAGACATCCTAATAAAGCCACCCAGATCAGTGCCTTGTCAGAGTTCTCTCAGCTGGCAGGATTGCAGCAGTCTCAGCTCCCAGCCCTGCCCAACTATCTGGAGCCTTGTTCCAATGAAGACTATTTTACCTTATGACCAAGTTAGTTATATTTACTCATTCCTGCAATAAATATTTAATAAGCATCCACTATGTGCCAGGTACTGTTGTAGTTATGCTGGGCAAATGGTGAGTGGGGGAATTAGTTTTGGCCTCTGTCCAAGCACAGCATACTTGAGGATGAAGACCAGAAGCAAGCTGCAGCAATTAGTGAACCCTTTGGAAAAGGAAAGTTGAACCCTTTGGAAGGTTTGAAAGTGAACCCTTTGGAAAGTTCCTTTTGGGAACCCTTTGGAAAAGGGTTCACCAACTGGAAAGTCAGCTGGAAGACAACCTTAGGGGTTTCCTTGGCAAACCCCTCATTATACAAATGAGGAAAGTGACGCTCAGAAAAACTTCAACCCATTAGTACCTCACTAGACCAAGTTTGCACCTTGGTCCACTACCATTTCCAGCACATCTAGGCGAATACGGATCAGAGAATCCTCAGGATGACAAAAGAGGTTTCTTCATCATGAGCCCTCCATACATTCAGCTGCCAAGTTTGGAGAATCAGTGTAGGATTTCCACAGTCCATCTGGACTTTTCTTTCATGGTAATCCTGCTCATCTTGCCAGTAAATAATCTGAAACATTAAGAAACACTCCTGATACATTGCCCAGGCTGGTCTTGAACTCTTGGCTTCAAGCGACCAGCCTCAGCCTCCTGAGTAGCTGGGATTACAGGTGGGCACCACTACTCCAAGTTGGCCTCGTAACTTTGGGGCAAGATGTGACCCTAGGCCTGTTTTAAATGCACATCTGGAGTCCTACTTCACACTTAATTCATCTTGGGAGGTGAAGCCCAGAAATCTGCAATTTAACGGGGCACTCCAGGAGCTTGCTATGCACAATGAAGTTTGAGAACCACTGCTCTGGAACCAAACAACTGTGGACTATCACTATTTCTGTATGCTCCCTTTCCCCTGGCAATATCTGGAGAGAAATCCATCCAAGCAAACTCTGAAGGGATCCTTCCCTTTTGCAAGGTCTCAAGACTTAACCTTTGAATTGTCAGGACCCTGGGTCTACAGAGTGGGAGGGCAGCAACCGCAGATTTTCTTGCTGTTCCCAGGTCTGCAGAACTTTCCTCAGTCCCTCTGCCCCACCCTGCCAGGGAGGGAACAGCACAACTCACTTATGAATAGGTCCTTTCTGAGGTCTGTCCACTGGGAGAGAATGCCTTTTTGTTGGCTGCAGCAGTCAGCAAAAAAGGGCAATGGTGGGTCTCAAAGTCAGACTTGTGAGCACACAGGGGAGATGTCGGGGCCTCAGGGATGTGATCTTGGTCTTGTGCACAGGTCCAGCTACCGCATTCCCTGGCATTGTATACAAAGAGCTCAATCCTAACCCTGGCCCTCAAGTGGTCAGGGTGGGGCCATAAGGCTCCGATGACTTCTATTTCCCTGTGGACCACCCTTCCTGAGTGTTGAATGGACCAAAGAAATGGGACCATTCAATACGCAGCTGAGGAGGTTGCTGGACCCATGAGACTAGCTCCATTTTAAGTCACAGGGGATTTATGAAGTTTGGGGTGAGAAGACAGGGAGGAAGCTTCAGGTGGCTCAGGGGTATTGTTAAAATGACCTGAAGATAGCCCGGTGCGGTGGCTTATGCTTGTAATCCCAGCACTTTGGGAAGCCAAGGCGGTTGGATCACCCAAGGTCAGGAGTTCAAGACCAGCCTGGCCAACATGAAGAAACCTCATCTCTACTAAAAATACAAAATTAGCCGGGAATGGTGGTGCATGCCTGTAATCCTAGCTACTTGGGAGGCTGAGGCAGGAGAATCGCTTGAACCCGGGAGGCAGAGGTTGTGGTGAGCTGAGATCGCGCCATTGCACACCTGGGCAACGAGAGCGAAACGCCATTAAAAAAAAAAAAAATGGCCAGGCGCGGTGACTCACGCCTGTAACCCCAGCACTTTGGGAGGCCAAGGCTGGTGGATCACCTGAGGTCAGGAGTTCGAGATCAGCCTGGCCGACATGGCGAAACCCCGGTCTCTGATAAAAACACAAAATTACTTTGGCGTGGTGGCAGGTGCCTGTAATCCCAGCTACACGGGAGGCTGAGGCAGGAGAATCACTTGAACCTGGGAGGCGGAGGTTGCAGTGAGCAGAGACTACAGGCCATTGCACTCCAGCCTGGGCAACAAGAGTGAAACTATCTCAAAAAAAAGAAAAAAAAGAAAGAAAAGACCTGAAGACTGCACTCGGAGCAGGATTTCGTAAGAATCACAGTAAATGGATTAGCTGAATCCAATCAAGTTATTTAGGAACCTGGGAGGTAGGGAGTAGTCATGCCTATTGGTGGGAGACAGAATCAAAACAGATTTTAGAATCAAGTAATGGTATAACTTTAACCCAGAAAAAAAGGATTCCAAACCAACCCCTCTGAAGGAAACGGACCTGAAGCTGTTTTCACTGTGATTATAAAAAGGGCTGTTTTTTCATTTGGTGCTTAGAAAGAATTGTCCCAGACATAAGCAGCTCCAGCAGCAAGAACAGTTCAGCACTTCTTTCCATCGTACACGTTCTGTTCTTTCCCAGGGCTGCCCTTGTGTCTGGCTCTCTCTCTTCCTACAAGGACTGCGAAGACTGGATGGCACGTTACAGTGAGAAATCAGTTAAAGACACAGGATTTAATCTGCCGTACTGAGGAAAGTCTCAAACCTGTCACATGGCTTCATGGTATTATGGAAAAAGCAAGGACTTTGATGTCAAAAAGTTCTACAGTTGCTGGGAGCCGCGGTGGTTGTCCTGACGTGTAAGGAGGCGAGGCTACACATTTGAGGCCAACCTGGGCAGCATAAAAACCTCTCATCCATTAAAAAAACAAAAAAGGAAAGAGTTCTACAGTTAAATCCTTGCATTGTGTGCTTCAGGCAAACCACTTAAGCTTTCTGAGCTTTTGGAAGCCTTGTCTGGACTTGGTCTCTACTGTCCTAAGTACTCACAGTGGAGCTAAGCTACCCTGCATTCACCATCCTATTGTCTAAAGAACAGGAAGGGAGATGAAGGAGAGAAGCTCTGACCAAGAGGGCAGTACTTTCTCCTAGAGATGGATCAGCCACTTTCCATTTCCTAGAACTGGGCTTTCACCATTCACACTGGGAAATATCTGCGACATACTCAGGCCCTGCATCTGGCTCCCTCTGGCCACGTGATGAAACCAACATCAGAGCTTTCCAGGAAACAAGGCTGGTCATCAGGTTGCAGAAAACAAGCAGATAAATAATTGATTGTCTCAAATCTCTGCCTCCAAAGATCACTGATAAAAATGAGCCAGCTCTCTTATTTCAAGAAAGCTTGGGTCTTTGGCTTAGAAATCAGAAGACAGGCGGCCGGGCTGCTGTTACTTCACCTGTTATCCCAGAACTTTGGGAGGCTAAGGCAGGCCAATCGTCTGAAGCCAGGAGTTCGAGACCAGCCTGGTAAACATGGCGAAACCCTGTCTCTACTAAAAATACAAAATCTAGCCAGGTGTGGTGGTGCACACCTGTAATTCCAGCTACTCAGTAGGCTGAGGCACAAGAACTGCTTGAACCCGGGAGGCAGAGGTTACAGCAAACTAAGATTGCACCACTGCACCCCAGCCTGGGCAACAAAGTGAGCCTCTGTTTCCAAAAAATAAAAATAGAGTAGGAGCTAGACCAGAAAAGGAGTAAGAGCATATTCCAGACAGGGGACTCCCCACTACGGGCAAAAACATACAGGTAGGTTTGGTGCTCTTGGCAGAAAAGTTCAAAGTAAAGGGTAGAAGGTTACAAATTAAAGAGGCCAGGTCGGCCGGGCGCGGTGGCTCAAGCCTGTAATCCCAGCACTTTGGGAGGCCGAGGCGGGTGGATCACGAGGTCAGGAGATTGAGACCATCCTGGCTAACATGGTGAAACCCCGTCTCTACTAAAAATACAAAAAACTAGCCGGGCGTGGTGGCGGGCGCCTGTAGTCCCAGCTACTCGGAGGCTGAGGCAGGAGAATGGCGTGAACCTGGGAGGCGGAGCTTGCAGTGAGCCGAGATCGCGCCACTGCACTCCAGTCTGGGTGACACAGCGCGAGACTCCGTCTCAAAAAAAAAAAAAAAAAAAAGAGGCCAGGTCATGGAGAGTGTTAGATGTTACATTTAACGGCTTGAACTTGATCTTTTAAGTCAGTGGTTGACAAGCAAGCTGCAGTACACTGGTGTGTTATGAATCCACTATAAGCGTGCTGCCAAAGCTTGACCAGAGTGTAAAATTCACATATATATATACACATACATATGTGATACATGAATTAAGCCAGAACGACCCAGCAAATAGGCAAAAGGCATAGCATAACATCAGACCACAGCCAAAGATTGTACGTTTAGCAAAACATTGCAGATCTTTACTTTGTGGCTATATAAAAACACATCGCTGGGTTAAGATTTCATCTCTGCCATGGCTGGAAAATAAAGTAGGGGATGGATTCTCATGTTGGTTTCTCCAGTTTTGCCAAGTACAGATGCTGGTGAGGGAGCTTTTTCTTTGTTCCATATCACTACCTCTTCCACTTGTTCTGGGCCATTTAAGAGGTTCACATGGGGTAATCCAGATACAGTAAAGCAAAGCCTCAAGATCCAGGCTGCTTTCACTGCTGCTGTGTGGCCTGCAAGCAGCTGACAAAGGCCTCCAGGAGTGTGGGTGGAGAGGAACTTGGTGTGATGAGATACGGGGGAAGCGGGAAGGGCAGCTAGAAAAACAAAATGTCTCAATTTATCTCCAAATTTTTCCTCCTAGAGAGAAGCAAATCATTTTAATCCAATAGTATACCACTGAGGTGAAGAGTGATAAAGCGAATGATACAAAGATCACAGAAACTTTTAGCTGCCAAGGAACATCATACTGGCATACCAGTTCACTGTAATTATTGCTGGCCTGGTGGTTGCTGGTGTTAGTCATCAGGATAGGTCCTGATGGACCAGTTAACCGACCCTTGTTCTAGTCTCATTATCTCTGAATAAGAGTATTTGGAGGCAGCTGTTTTACCCTGGGGAGGTAAGGGTGATAAATGAGTCTGTGCTCAAGGTTCATGTCCTCTATGCTGTAGTAACACTATGTTTTTTGTTTTTTTTTTCCGAGACGGAGTCTCACTCTGTCACCCAGGCTGGGGTTCAATGGCGCAATCTCGCCTCACTGTAACCTCCACCTCCTGGGTTCAAGCATTTCTCTTGCCTCAGCCTCCAGAGTAGCTGGGATTACAGGCGTGAGCCACCATGCCTGGCCAGTAACACTGTATTATAAAGACTGATGACACTCACCCAGTTCAGATGAGGTGGTCCACAGCCTACAATCCAGACTAATCTTATCTGCAAAACTATTCCAATCTAATGGAAAAGAGTAGACTTCAAGGATGGCAGTTGTGCTTTCTGAGGGGTCCTTATACCTACTCATCCCACCCTACCATCCTACATGCCCGAGAAGGCAAGTGATGAGTCAGCCTGGTACATTCAGTTCCACAGTAAAGAAGCAGGATGATCTAAATATCCAATTTCCTTATAAGGCAGGGAAAAACCATCCCTTTTTTCCATTAGAATCCAAACTATGATAAAGGAGACAGAAAGACATCAGCAACTTTGAGCAAAATGTTTACATTTATATTGAAATATACACTAAAACAGAATGAGTTCTACTTGTCAATGAAACTTTGCCAAAGCAAAATCACAAACTTCCAACGGGGAGGTCCAGTCAGCTAGCAGCAGTGATCCCCAAGCAGGAACACCAAGAAGCCTGGGGGACCCCTCTCCAAAAAGCCTCCTTTCAAGAGGCCCCAACTCACTTCTCCCACATGCACCCACACGGATTTAGGAGCTTAGACATGCTCCTGATTTTCATATATTTTTAGTTTCTTCTTCACTGCAATAAATATAAAGTTGGCAATGCTCATACACCACAGCACAGACAATATTTCAGGCTTTAGCATACAACTGTAAACAGTGACTAGGTTAAAAAAATAAAATAAAGTAAGTTGGACTTTTTTTTTTTTCAACAAAGAGACAAAATTCCTTAGAGCCGGGCATGAGCTACTCAAGATTTGTTTTGTTGGATTAAGGTTTCTGACAAAAGATTCTGGTTTAGGCAGATGCCCTTGACAGTTCAAGTAGACCCAGAGTGGTAGCCAGAGCACTGTCTACAGCAACCAAGAATACATGGACTGGAAGACAACCTGCCCTAGATCACCCTTGGCAGTACATCTTCAAGCTGCCACATTCCAGATATGACCACAGACATCTTTATAGTTCCATCACTGGCTGCCATCTAGTGTAGCAGGAATGCGTGGGCGAAGGAATACAAATCTGCTGGGAGGAAAAGAGAATAGTATCTCTGCTAGCTGCCTGGAAAGTTGGCCCCTTAATCACAATGACAACTAGGACATTTCACTTGGACAGTGCATTAAATTTATAGATTTTTTTAAAACTACAAAGACCAAGCAGTAAGTTCTGTCACTGACGCAAACTGGGATGTCAAAGAAAAATAGATTAACTATTTTTACCTAAAGTAGTGCAAAGAAATCTGGCAAAAAATGAAAGTGAACTCAATATCTGCACATCAGTAACGGGGCAGAATTTTATTTAAAAGGCTAGTGGTTCCAATACTATTGCTTGAATAGCTCTGGTAGATATAAAATGT